AATTATCAATCGTTGAAAGTTTCAAGGCAATCGTTCAGTCGTTGTAGCTATGACGAGCATTCTTTTTTTCTGAGACGAGGTCACTTGGCGTGACCTGGTGACCTGATATTGGGCGACCTGGGCCTGAAATTTTCACAACATGTGCGGAAAAGATGCACGAACAGGTGTGCCAAAAACGGCGGCGCTCCGCGCCGCCGTTTTTTTTTTTGAGATATCGGCGAAAAAATGCAGGGGGGTGTTCAAACATCCCCGGCCCGGCGCGGGTTAACGCGGTTTTATCTAAAATCGGTTCTCGTCGCTGGAAAAGTCGCTGGCGACGTCGCCAACTTCACGGACATCAGGCATAGGTACATATGAATTCTGTTCCTAGTAAGTATAATAATCATAATACCCAGGATCAGGATCATAATCATGCTCAAGATCATAATCGTAAGTCTCAGGATCAGAATCGTAAGTCTCAGGATCATAATTCAGGATCATAATCGTAACTCAGGATTATCAATGCTCATTTCATGGTAGGGGCAACGCTCTGAATTGGGCACGTACACCGCATCATGGAAGTTGTCCCGGAGGTTGTAATTTCGGAAACAAACAGTGCCGCCACCTCTCCTCATCTGTGATACCGCCCGATTGAGATCGCCGATGCAGACCCATGGCTTTGTCCTGTCCTTGGACACGGCCCACTTGCTGTGGTCGTTGGTGGAGGGGAAGCCGAACTTCCCCGTGGCCGTGGTGACCGTGACGTTGCGCACGTCCTCCACGTGGTAGAGGCCGGAACAGCTGGATGACAGGTTGGCCCGCCACGTCTCCGCGTACAGGCTGGTCGTCAGGTTGGGAGCCACCAGGTCGCTGTACAGGTCGACGTGGTAGCTGCTGCTCTTGGCGAATATGCGCATGTCCCCCCTGATAAATTGGATGGCCCAGTCCTCCTTTTGGTGCAATCTTCCGCCATATCTGTCAAGCCGACATGGGCCTTCTCGTGGGACTGTTAGACTAACATAATCATCATCATCATCATGGTCTTTCCAAGCGTAACAAAAGGCTTCATTAATTTGCAATTGCTTGATGATCTTGTTGAATTCGGAAAGATATTTTAACGAGATGCAAAGGAAACTCTGGCCGAACCGAAGTCCGTTGGATGCGTAGCTGTAGCCTGTTCCATCTTTCGGCGCTGGAGGAAACTTGGGCACGCTGTGGATCATCCAAAATCCATAATTGCCATCGTAGGCAAGCACCCCCTTGGTGTGTCCTTTATCCCAGTGTGCATTTACATCGACTGGCCAGTGGTCGTTGTAAAAACGGTAAAAAAGACACCTCCGACCGTAGTTGTAAACGGGCTCCAGCGTTCGACCTGGGTGAGAATTTGAGTCCCAGATGGGCACTTTGGACAAGCTCCACGGGCCTTTTGTCGACGCCGACGAGATGTGCAGGTAGGCCGAGCCTTCTCTGACAAAGTCTTTTTCTTCTTCGCTCAAGCCGGCGAATTCTTCTTTTGACTTTTGACTTTTGGGTTTTGGCAGCTTGTACAGCACGTACCAGTCGACCAGTTGGTTGTTGTGGTCCCTGCAGCCGAGCTGGAGGTCGTCGGAGGAGCGGTCGGAGGGCTGGGCGCCGGCCCTCCCACCAACAGCCGCCGTCAGCAGGAGGGTCAGCAGGAGCACCATGTTGCACTGGTCACAACCGCACCGGCCGGGGGTGTCGGCTCGACTGAGGACCCCTGGGAGAGCCCTCACAGGTTGGCATCAGGGTGCACGACGCAAGAGGACGACTGCATTGACCTTGGCCGCTGGGAGTACCCCACTACCAAGTGCTTGCTGCACAAAACAACAACGTATCTTGTCACCTACATCGTTAGCAAGTCGAATTCGGGTGTGACTGCTTACTGCGCCCCAGCGAGATAGCATTTGTAATGTTTCCTTACGGGTCAAGGCCCATTCGAGTGCGGACATCGCGGACCTTGATGAATGTTAAGAGTTCCAAAAACACATTTATTGTTGATAAGCGTTTACGAGGCATTCATTGTGTTTTATTCATTGCAATTAGAATTACAATATTGTTGTTATTAGAAGAAAGTACTGGCCCCATTCGAGGCTATGATCAATTTCTAGTACGTGACCCCAGAAACCAACGTGGGCCTTCAGAGGCCGGCGATTTGTCCCAAGAGGTCCGTTCGGGGCTATCAGAGGCCGCCTCGGTGACCCACAACAGTCAACCGATCCTTAGCCAGTGTGGGGCCCAAAGATGTCGACTCGAAACTGACACTCGGTTGTCAGCGTTGACCCCTGAGTTCAGCATTGGGCCTTCAGAGACTGGCATGGGCCATCAGAGTTCAGTCTCACCCATGTTAAATGTTCACACCCGCACTATTCTCTGGGCCTACCGCACTGTCAGAGACAAAAAGAGCACGTCTCCCACAGCCAAAATATTTAGAGTCATACTATGTTCCCTGAAAAATCATTTATCCCTTGCCAACGAGTACATACCTATTACGGGAAAATGCTTAAAACTTATGAATAGATGTCAAATTTACAAACAATTTGCCGCCACCTTATAGCTCTTTTGACGTGCCAGTGTCAAAGGGTACTTACCTACATTTGTTACGACTATACCGACTAAGATGGACTTTGGTACCTACACGCTGATGTCACTAACCTTAGATGTCTGGCGCTTATCATTTCTATCACCATTTTGACGACATTTCAATTTTCACACACATTTCCCGCCATTACGTGGCCCAGGGGCCGATCGAGAAAGCAACAGGCGAAGGACAGACCGCCCCTCCCCCCCGAACCAAAAGTCCATAGCGGAGCCCCTGGGTATAATGTAGAGAAGCGGTCAGGTTTGAGCGTCCGGGCCCCGCACGATCGTGCTGTCCACGATACTGTACGGCGACTACAGCATGGCAATGGTTCGAAGTTATGGCAGATGTGTAACTGCTTGCTTCCTGCAGTCTCAATAAGTAAGTAAACAGTCAATACTCACTGTTCTTGTACTCTGGAGTTTGTGTCAACTATAACCGTGGATCCGTTGTCTTTTTTTCGTGGCAATAATTTTAAGAAAATCAAAAATGGACGATTTCTGGATTTTTCATCGTTGATGAAACTCATCTCATCCCTACGTATATCCTACCGACATGCGACGCATGTCCTATCTTATAAGTGGCATCATCTTGAGCCTTTCGTCGCGCTAGCTAGAGCTAATAACATACATCTTGACGAGTCTCGTCTCAACTTCCAAGGGTAATCACGCATTTTTCTCACCATTAGGCTAGAAGTTAAGTTGCTACCTTCCTCAAATTTACTCCGCAGCATCGCCAAACGGGAATTTCCCGGCATTAGCCTTGGCGATTATGCACCGATAAATGTCGCAAACACGAAGCCCGATGCGCTGTTGAGATGGCGCTGCATGGTGCATTGTTGCAGACTCAGCCCGACTAGGTCTCAAATGAATAAATGATGTCGGTGGAACGCTGCCAAGCTTAAGGCTAATCTGCAGGGCCTCCTCTAAGGAATTTTCGTTAGAGGGCCATAGGCTCAAGGACCAAAAGTGATGCATACCTAATTACATTCACCCAAATCCAGTTGCGGCGGAACACCTCCAATAAAGGGGGAGGGGGGGGGGGGTCACTGCCGACTTTTGGTCCCATTCTTTCCATGCAACGCCCGTAGGGCTAATGTTAAAATGCCAAAATCAAGGGGGCACGGTGCCCCGGTGCCCCCCGTTCCGCCGCCTATGGGTCATGTGGTTTGTGATTTCAATAACTGCAGCACAATGATGTGAGTTGTGAGTTGTGACTGTCGAAAATTGATTATTTCATGATAGGCTTACCTTGAGGTCCTCAGCGTATCTCAAACTTCATTTAATGATTTAGCTACTGCTCAAATGTCAAAATTAGGCGTGAGTCAGCTGACCTTCCGTCGGTGACAGCCTGAGACATTTTTTTCACCCCTGCTGACAGCTGACGCCCTATCGCTGATTTTCGACAAATTACAAAATGCGTTTTACTCGGTGTTATAGCGCATCCTTAGAAGACCCGTGAACGGTGAAACATTTTATCTTTGACCTGACCTGTGACGTCATCGGTGACCCCGAGATCAATGAAATTTGATTTCCTTCGACAAATTTGACAGGGCTATCGAACGCCGTTTGAATTTTACGGATCCGTCCAGTGGTTTCGGAGATACGGGGGGGGGGGAAAAAATGTCTCCCCCACCGCGCGGAAGGTGGCCGTGATTGTGAATACGGCCACAGGGGGCACTGGCTTCTTTTGGTCCCATTCTTTCGATGCAACGCCCATAAACTATAAACTAACTAAAACGCCCATAAACAGGCTTCTACAGGGCTAATGTTAAAATGACAAATCAAAGGGGGCACGGTGCCCGGGTGCCCCCGGTCCTCCGCGTATGTTCGTAGGCACGTTTGAGCTCCACCACGCAGAGTTGTCTAATAATTATATGGACGGCTTAGGCTTAGGTACAAAACGTTAGAAATTAGCTACCGAAACTTAGCTGATCGAACTTGTCTTTGATCTACAGATATTCCGCAACTGTTTCATTGCTAGCGCAGTGGCCTCTGTTCTTTGTGCAGCACTTGTAGCATGATTCCAAGGTTGATTATTGCGTATATTTATTATTTACTGAATGACGTTTATCCCGTTTAACTCATTGCAGTTTTGTCTAAAAGCTCTGACATTACTTTTTATTACAGATTTGCATTAAGGCACGATTTGACAAGATATAAGTAGCCGGCTGCTCTAGCTTTCTGCTAACACTCTTTGCTTGCTATCCTTTGAACATGGTGATGCATAGACGTGGTTGTTTACTTTTAGTTTCTGTTGACTTCGTGTTGCATGCAACCTGTCAAAATATTTGTTTCCTTCAGGCTTCTGTTGGATGCTTGGGTCGCAGGGCTACGCGCTACGCGTCCTATTCCAACAACAACAACAGCAACCTTCTGGCTTCGGAGTCAAGCCAGAGTCAGTGGAGAGGGGCTTGTGGCCTTTCACTTTGGGGGAGAGGGGCCGGGGGGCTTACATGAGGCTCACCCGGGCTCACCCTATTTTGGCTTATATAACATGAGTTTGCCTTCACTGTATGACGTAATATTTAATCATGCACATAGATCACTGGTAGTACCAGTTACTTCATGTTCAGATGTCAGATTGACTTCCTGTGTTCTTTGCAATGGAGCTATGGTCTACAAACCATTTTGACCCCCCTAAAAACATAGGTAAGCCTGGCATCACTTCAAGATGCCAGAGGTGGCAGTACCTAGCTGAAAGAAAGCAGTACAAGCATGGTCTTTGTCTTCCTGGCCCAGACAGCCATGCCAAGGCTAAAACGATAAGGTTGGCTCGGCAGTTGGCGGTCATTACCTCAAACCAGACTCAGAGGCCACCTTAATGTAATTGGGTCTGCCTTTGTATGACAATTGACAGCAGGGTCTTGCCTTAAACGCAGTTCACACTTGCCCGTAAGGTCTGCCGGTGACGGGCCCGACACCGTCAAAACGGCCGAAACCGACGGAGTGACGGCCGTCAGGTCGACGGGCATGTGTGAACCGGCAGCGTTTGACGGCCGGCAACAGCTGACTGCGTCGGCGCCGGACCTGACGGCCGTCGCTTTGGAAAGTTCAGCAATGTTTAACTTTTGACGGTGACGGGCCCGTCGGTTTGAATGTCTGCGTGTTGGAGGAAGAGGAAAAGGAACCTTCTCATGCAGCATGAAGCTTATGTGCATTTTTAAGATAATTTGTACCATTTTCCATCCATTTGTCGAGATGAAAGTGCTTATTTCGGCACGATATCTTGAGATTCGATCCCTGATTTAAATCAGCGAACCGATGTGTCTTTCATTTAAATTACATTGCAGCATTATTTGACATAAAAATGTAATTTTATTTCTGTAATTCAAAGAATATTTTAACCTCTCGGCCTCTACCGTCCCCCCATCCCCTTCCCCATCTGCGTCAATCTCGAAAATGGTGCGCCATTTCTGTCACAACATATGGCAGCCAATGGGAGCTACCAAATCTCAACTTTCGTTTGACGGGCTGCAGGCCGTCAGGTCGACGGTGACGGGCCCGACACCGACAGACTGACGGTCATGTGTGAACTGCGTTTTACCTTTTTGCCACCTTCTGACTGGTTAAGATATCACAGCAAAGGTGTTATATATAGCAATCTTGCTGGGTTAGAACTTAGAAGATGAATTTGAGTAAACATTGTTATTTGCCATTTGTTACAAACACAAACAATTACAGTTTAATAAATAATGACTGTGTAACTAACCTTGATCTCTCTTTTTCAGAGTGCAGGAGTGCTGTCAGATTGGGACTAAAACACATGTGCTGATGACAGTGGATTGACAGCTGAACACATCCACCTTTCACAATGTCTGAAAACAACCTCAAACAGATCCTAACTTTGGGGAACTCGATCATAGGAGTCTCCATTCTGGCGATGCCATACTGCCTGAAACAGGTACATATTTACACATGCTGTGTTCATTTGTTTTGTATTTACCCATGCTGCTTGTGCCTTTCGTGTTGATGCAATATTGGGAGATTAGAGTGTATGCTAAGCAAGAGTGTTTGCCTGAACTCTATGTTGTCACTTGCTTGAGGTGTGTTTGGAAAGTATAGTATTTATACTAGGATGACCCGCAACACGATAAGGGGTATTTTCGATTGGCGGGTGTTTGGTTGTTCTTGTGTCGGTCGGGTTATCTATCCATTTTGGTCGATTGCTTTCCATTTTTTTCCAACAATCCATTTTTCCACAGTGTGGCCTGATACTGGGCATCCTTCTGCTGATCATAAGTGGCTACATCAACCGCATCAACTGCCACTTTCTCATCAAGTCGGCCATCAGCACCAAGAGACGCAGCTATGAATTTCTGGGTAAATTAATTATATCATTGTGTGATCTCAAGGGCTGTTAACAGGTCTATTGATGGGCAGTTTCGCTGGGGGCCGAGGTAGACAGTCATTTTGTGATAAGTCATTTGAAATTTTACTATCAATTAGGCTTACCCATTTCCGTGATCTTATATTGGTTTGTGTTTTGAGATGTTTTTGTCTTCTTTCTGACAACTGTGTGAACACTGAACCGGCATAGCATTGCCAATCAGGAATTAGTAAAAGACTGCCGTCAGCTGCTTGCATTACCACGCCAACCTCAAATGATGTGAACACTCCGACCCTCTCTCTCTCTCTCTCTCTCTCTCTCTCTCTCTCTCTCTCTCTCTCTCCCTCTCCCTCTCCCTCTCCCTCTCCCTCTCCCTCTCCCTCTCCCTCTCCCTCTCCCTCTCCCTCTCCCTCTCCCTCTCCCTCTCCCTCTCCCTCTCCCTCTCCCTCCCTCCCTCTCTCTCTCTCTCCCTCTCCCTCTCCCTCTCCCTCTCCCTCTCCCTCTCCCTCTCCCTCTCCCTCCCTCTCTCTCTCCCTCTCCCTCCCTTTCTCTCCCTCTCTCTCTCCCTCTCTCTCTCTCTCTCTCTCTCTCTCTCCCCCTCTCTCTCTCTCTCTCTCTCTCTCTCTCTCTCCCGCCGGGCAGCGTTTCACATTTTCGGCCCGACGGGCAAGTTCGCCATCGAGGTCATCCAGATCGGCTTCCTGTTCGGCATCTGCGTCAGCTTCTTCGTCATCGCCGGCGATCTCGGTCCCAAAATACTCGCCCAGTTGCTGGAGGTCGAGTGTACGCCACGGTTCCGGGCCTTCTTTCTCTGTGGTGAGCTACGAACCATTGCGTGACGGGAGATAAGATTGTGTACTCAGTGTAGGGAAGTATGCTCTGTATGTAGCATACTCCTGCTCTGATGAATAAATTTGACAGTTTAAATGTTGGGCGTACTTATAAGGCATGTTGTATCTGCATAGGCCATTTTGTGTTCCATAGTAACATAATTTAATATGCTCATGGGTTATGGGTCTTGATAATAATATCAATAACCGCTGTGTGTTTTTTATTTTACTGCATAGTTAATCGTATTTTGATGACAGCGAAGACAATATCAATCGATGGCCGTCCCACGGCCTCCGGCCGTCTGCTCCTAGTTCACATCTGTATCGCGTTTGCAGGGATGTGCTTTTTCATCGTGCTCCCGCTGAGTCTTCTGAGAAACACGGATAGCCTGGCGAGCATCAGCGCCATCTCCATCACCTTCTACGTCCTGCTGGTGCTTAAGGTACTGATCATGACGACTGGGTGATCCTGGGTGACCACATCCTTAATATAAGTGGACATTGGATTCGTATAGGGCAGCGTTATAATGCATAGTTTAGCCGTGTTGGTTTCGTTGCGTGGTATCTTCTTGCCGAATATGGTGCGGTGGTAAGTTTTCCTGATATTGTACGTGAAACTGGAATGACATGCGATGCTTTACGGGTAGTAACTAATGTTCAGAAACATGCTGCATGAGGCAAAGAATGTAACGGTTTATGAAAATGGCTCCGATTGTAAGTGCCTCGCCAGTATGAGTAGCGCTCCTTTCATTTCAGTAGCTGAATGAATGGGTTCATGTTTTGATGCTTCGATCATCTCGTATGTATGGCACTCGAACCGATACTAATGTATCCTGATCTTCCACTCAGAGCTTTAAATATTTCTTTTTTTTTATAAATTTAGTCCGAACCTTTTGATGGGAAGGATTCACAAGGACAGAGCCACCGCTAAGCGAAGCTTGTTGCGATGACCCTGCCCTCTACCCTCCGATCGCGCAATTCCGATTCTATGGCAGAATTTAGAGTCCAAAGTTTAACGTGCGCACAAAGCCGCGCACGGCCGGTCCCCTCACTGACTTCGCCTGGCTACGGCCTGCCACCAACCGCAACCATACCTGTCAGGAGGCCCATAAATGTCGAGCGCCCGTCGCGCTTCGAGACCCGGACTGTCATAACCGGGAACGCGTTATGACATGAAATATAATCCTCGATGTCTCATTAACGATCTTATGACGTCACTAATCGTCCCCCCAGATTGTGGCCGACTCGTGGAGTCACATCGTGAGCGGGTCGTGGCAGGCAGAGGTGGAGCTCTGGAGACCGGCAGGAGTTCTCCAGGCTCTACCCATCATGAGTCTCGCCCTGGCCTGCCAAACGTGAGTACCTACGAGTAAAATAACATAAAATCCCGTATTTCCAATTCCAAACGTGTGTGTATTTTTACGTAACATGTGCTCACCGAAATTCAGTACAGCAATACACTTTCAATCACATGCGAACCACGATGAACCTCAGCGAGCCCTAGCGGTGGTTTTTCGTTTCATTAGTTAACGACTCAGTCGATAGATGTCACTGCTACTCCATCCCTTGCATCTTCTCATGCTTCTTCAGTAGGCGCTGCTCCCGATAACAGAACCCGTGCTGTGGCCGGATCCCGAGTTTCCGGAGTTTCCCGGAGTGATGGATCCACCGCTGTGACCAGATCCGGATCCACCGGTGTTCGAATTCGGGTTAGGATGTCCCGGGATGAACTGACCCCCAGTATTGGTGTTCGGGTTGGGATGTCCAGGAATGAACTGACCCCCAGTATTAGTGTTTGGGTTAGGATGTCCGGGAATAAACTGACCCCCGGTGTTTGGATTAGGATGTCCCGGAATGAACTGACCCCCAGAGCTGGTGTTCGGGTTAGGATGTCCCGGAATAAACTGACCCCCAGTGTTGGGATTAGGATGTCCAGGGATAAACTGACCCCCACTGTTAGGGTTAGGATGTCCGGGAATAAACTGACCCCCAGTGTTGGGGCTGGGGTCGGGAATGACGCGCTGGAAGTCCTGCTCGGGCTGGTAGTTTACCGGCCGCGGTACGGGACGGTCCTCGATCACGGCTCCAGTGGTGTCCCGGCGGTACCTGTAGCGAAAGGCGGCGTGCTGGTAACTTCAGGTTTCTGGGGAGTGAGTGGCTGAGTGGTAGGTATGGGTATGATGGAGATAGTGCAAACGAAGCGATGCTTTATTCCGTGCAGTTTATGTGACCTTGGTTCCGATCCTCATCATGTCTTTACTTGGAAGTGTGTGCTATTTGGCACATCTGCTGCTAGGTAGCAGCGACTCATATTCATGCATAGACCTCTGTACACCAGTCTATGACAGAGGTCTATGATTCATGATTTGGGCGTTTTAAAAGGAACTGGCGCATTAAAACAAGACTGATTCAGTCACATGTTCGTGTCACCAGAATTGAACATCAAATGATTCTGGCTGCTTCTTGAAAAAAAAACAAGACAAAACATATTTCAAAAATGAAATCAACATTGATGATCAAACAGCATGAAATGAATCACTATCCTATACCCAGCCTGGGTGTTGGGTATTCAACTGACCTGTACCGCGGTGGGTAGTCTGGAATCACCGGTCCTGGGTAGTAGCTGTTTCCGCTGGTACCACTACTGTGTCCGCTGCCGCCGCCGCCGCTGCTGGGGTAGTACCCACTACCCCCTCCATTGGGGTAGTATCCACCGCCGCTACCCCCTCCGTTGGGGTAGTACCCACCGCCGCCGCTACCTCTGCGGGTGCCACCGAGGAGACCCGATCCGGGACGACCCCAGTAGGTGCCGTCTCGAGTGAGACCGGCCGCCGCGCTGACACACAGTGCCAGAACCTGCGAGGGTGGAGAGGCGTGAGGGTGTGGGTTCAACTCTCGTTGAGGGAGTATTTCTGTGTTTGCTAGTTTTCGACTTTTTGAATGATTGAAAAAATACGGTTTCGATGATGAAATTTTGTAGCAAATGTGACTGAGTATTATTTTGAACAATTCTTTGTCTGCAATGAGATCATCCAAAGAAACCCTTTTCAGATACCTCACTACGTAAGCAAGGCAGATAATTACCTGTATCGTAAGTGCAGTGAAAAAAATGAGCGAAATAAAAACCAGTTACACAAAAGCGCTACGCCAATGAGTCCTCGAAAAAAAAATGAAGCTAATACTTCATACCCTTCAAGTTTGTACAGTCTGGACTTACCGCCAAAGCCTTCATGGTCCGCCTGCTCTTCTCCCTCCGATCTTCAGTTCCGTTCTGTACCGACTCTGGCCTATCCTCCGCCAGGGCTGCTTTTATACGCCAAAGCGCAGGTGGGCCCGTGTTTGAGTATGGTAATCGGTGCCATGAGACGCCGCCGTATGTTTCCATGGCAGTTACGACGAACCGCCCGTGTGTATACTGCTGTGACGTCATAGTCAGGTGTGTACGAATGGGTGACGTCACTCGGGCTGGGTGGATTGGGTGGTGCGGGCTGGCCGTTGCCCGTGCTCGTTTTTTGGGAATGCTTGGCAATCAGCTAATACAGTTTGTGAGGAAATGCATTGCTATTGGAGTGTGATCGCGAAGGTGTTTAAGTACACGGAACTTCACAAGTCACAACTTGTGAGTCCTTGAGTTATATTCTAACAAGTAAATATAGCTGAAATGTTTTACCTGTCAACCACTGAAACTACATATACGGAAGCTTTGTGCAAACGTGCATCATGCAAATGTGCAATCGATGATTTCATTTGGGGGTGTTTCAAGTTATATTTTTCCCGGAACAATTTTACAAACCTAACCTTGAATTAAATTTTAATCATGCCAGTTATGTATTTTCCTGTCACTTGAATACATATTGTAATGATTCATGATATCACGAAGCAATATTTTCGACTATTATATGATTATCTGCACTGTTTTTCTGCAACCAACCAATCAGCAGCCTGCTATTTTACCTAATGCCTCTTAGTAGACTGCAGGCCTGGGACAGTCTCCCTGAATAAACAGACAGTTTATAGGCCGGACTTTGTACTTTCTCGGTCATTCACCTGTACTCAGTAGTTACTGGCCCCACCTGTTGCTGTAGAGGTGCGAACAAGTGTCTTTTTCTTTTTCCATCCACTGTTATCAGTAGCGCGAACAGTTGTCTCTCCCCTTCCAATCCACATCTAAATCCAAGGCCACGTAACTTCCAAATCAGTGCAGGACTGATCCAATTTCAGTCTATTGTCCCAAGTGTCCACACCAGACACCCGAGAGATCAGTCGCCAACTCCAAGGCAAGTCATCAAGTAAGGAAGAGACGCACCTATAACGTCACTCATTTCCCTTCTTCCTGCTAAATTGAAGTTGTTAACTGATGCTTCCAGTGAAACATTACAACTTCCATTTTTTTTTTTGATGGACGCATATTTCCGGCAGTCCATGAATCGCAAAGCCCGGACTTCTGAATAAGCCACAGTACTGTGGCCTTATAGTAGGCTTATCTCATCCCTAGCTGTCACACTGCTACTCCTTGTCCATCTTCAACCGCTAATGGAAGCCGCCGCTAAATTATTCCAGCCGGCATGTGGTTGTGGATGGTGTTAACACTTCCCGAACGATGAGTTCATACGTGGGTTTGACTTGATGGTTGTTCGGGATGCTTGTGACGACTATCAGACTTCGTATGAGGAAAGATGGTGGTGCAGTGCTCTGAGAAAGAAGAAATAACCACGTTTCACTTATTTTATTTTATGTATTTGTTATTAACTATGTGATTTTGACATGATGACTGACGCCTGCGCCTCTGAATTTTGAACGTGACAGTTTCTTACTGAAACTCTACTGTCATACTCAGTAGGCAGTAGCAAGCATTCGCCTTGCACAACTTCCACTACCAACAACTACTCTTTCGCTCTCAACCGGCGCTACTCTCCCGATGACGTCATCAAAATCCCAGTGTTATTTGCTCTCGCCCGCGGTGTGTATGTCTGTGTGTGTGTGTGGATCTAGTGCCGGGTTTGCCGTGTGTTCTTTCGGTGACTGGCCGGAATGGATGCGAATCACCGTTTGACGAACCATGATTAGCCGGGAAATCAGTGCGGAAGTGCGCAGTTTGGATGCTGATTGTGGGGAAGGAGAAGCTTGATTTCCTAATCTAATCTAATCTAATCTAATCTGAGATTAACTTAAGGTTGATTTCCTATTCTAATCGAATCTGAGATTGTGTTTTACCGCCCTTTCGCGCTTTGGTTTATGATGAACTTTTGCTGAAGGTTTAATTTGAACACAAGTTACAAGGTGTCCAGATTGCTCAAAATAAATGCCCTTGTCGGTGGGCATTTTATGTTTGTATTTCATGGGAAACTGAAAAAGCTACGCGTCGCTTCGCGATATCTTCATGTGCGGAGTGGCTGTCACTGGATACCCTATTACGATGCGTTGCAGTCTCCAGCGGACTGATCACTGCAGCTTCCGTCAGCCGCCGCCAGGCGTCTCTGCTGTCGGATATAGCGATGTGTGCAATACCTGCTTTCCCTGTCATGGTGTGACAAGAAGTTCCAACTGTCACGACCCGACCTTAGATTTGATTTCAATTGCCAGCTGCTAAGGATGTGGATAATTGATATTCTTTATTGCTTGCTCCATCGTCAGCTGCGAGCATTTTTTTTTTTTGTTTTTGTTTCTGTATACCTACTTTGCCGAAGAAAGCTTAGGACGGTCAGTTCTGATGTAAAATATTTATTCATCATTCACCATATTTACCTGTGGATAATGGCCATTATGTCCCAAACACCACATTCTACAAGCTATTGAGTTTCAGATTCAGGTGTGCTTGTTGAATGCCTCAACAACAAATTAGCTCCGCGAACATCATCACACCAATTGTTTCACATTAAAACAGCGAGGTAGCGGAGACCGAATACACTCTCCTTAAACCTCCACTTCACCCATCCAGATTGTTACTTTGCTGAAAAGCAACTGCTTTGATACCTCAGCAGTTTTTTCGTCCTTCGACATCCGCAAAAGTCCGTTTCTCCTGTTCCCATTTCTCGGCAGTGATAATAGCTGTCGTGTACCGTCGTTCAGTCAGCAGTGTGTTGACCGCCTTAGTGGTATCCGTAGTGACTGTAGCCGTACCCGTACGGATGGGCCCGATAGCCGTAGTGCGGTCCGTATCCGTACGGACGGGCGTAGCCGTAGTACGGGCCGTGGCCGTGACTGTAGCTGTAGCCGTAGCCGTAGGGGTAGCCAGGTGCGGCGGAGGCTACGGCGCCGAGGACGGCGAGCACGGCAAACAGAAGCAGCTAGGGAGGGTAGAGGGGGGAGGGGGTAAGAAAATGTGGCCTTCCACGTTTATGGTAGGGGAGGAAGGAGCAAGCGACCTACATGTGGTTTTGAAACATCTGTTCAAACGTTTCACAGCATATAAATATTGTGGAATAAGGTAATCAACATAGAAATAAAAATCGAAAATGATAGGAAAATTAACGTTCATATCGATACATAGTTAGCTGTAATTTAATTATATTGCAACTTTTAAAATCCGATCTTTCTCTGATGTTCAACAGCTTAAAAATAAACCATAAGTATATAGTTGATATGCATGTCACAGTTTGCATAAGAAGAAAATGTCTTTTTGATAACCACTAACCAAAATGAATATGCTAAATTTGAACAGTCTTGCGCCAAGTCGGAACCGTCAAGCGCAAAGTAGTCACAAAAGAGAGCCACACTCAAACCCAAACCGTCTCCGCCCGCTTTTACTTACCAGAGTATTGGCGTTCATCTTGTCTGAGCTGAGCTGAGCTGAGCTGCGTGAGCTGCTGTGAGCTGCTGTGAGCTGAGGGTGTGTCTGTCGAAGTCCCCGGCTCCCCCTGTTTATATCTCTCGCCCCACCCGACTCGGAACGTGGTCGTGTCCCACGAATTGACGGACGGGCCAGGTTGGTTCGTTTCCCACCTACCGCGCGTTCGACGTAAACAACTCCAGATTGGGGGAGGTAACCCCACTGCGCTGCTTGCTGCGTATGCCCCCCCCCCCCCGACGGCGAGGGGAGGGGGCGGTGACGTAGATAGGCGGAGCGGGGTCACGGGCGAGGTCACGGCCAATGTCACGGTCTAGGGGTCACGGGTCGCTCGGGCGGCTGGTTAACGAACCAACGCTTTACTCGTGCGCGTCGTGACCGTTGGTGGTGCCAAGTTTGGAAGATGGATGGCTGTTCGTGACAATAAATTGGGAGCGATGCGTGAGGCGCGGTAGGTGCGCTGAGACACGGGAAGTGGTTGGGCGGCTAAACAGGACCGTATCAGTGTTGGGGTAGGACTGGTGCCTGGTTAGAGAGCGGGCCGGGCGCTGGAAGATTTACAGGGTGTCCCATAAGTTCGTTCTCACATTTTATTTGCATGTGAAACAGAGTACTTTGCGTTTTGATATATTTATGACCCCTCAATGTGCTCCCCATTTAATAGGCAAACACATGAACACATGCTGCGGCATGCCAACCGGCATGTTTGGCTGCATAGCAGGCTTAAAGTTAACCCAGACTGACTTGACATGCGCCGTGAGCTCCTCGAGGCTGGAACAGCGCTACGCTTCGACGAGCCTAAATTTCAGCATAACCAACAATTTTTTATAAAATTTTGATCCGATGAGGTGCCTGGCATGTGGTCTTGCCACAAACGCCTGTCACAGTCTCCTTCCACCGCTTTTAAGCTTTGCTTGGCCTGTGCACTGATGCACTGTCTGGCCTGAAGATGGGCCTACGACCTCTCGGATGCCATTTTCTCCTCTATAAATGTGTTCATACTCGCGGTTCGAGTTCAGCTTGAGGGCTGAAACTCCTCCTAGATTTTCTTGGAAAAGCATTATGCTTCCCAAAGCTGTTTCTGCGACACCAATCGCAACCTGGTCAGCGTCTGGGCGCCTATAACCCCACAATACCGTGATCTTGGCCTTTCGCATAGGAACATAACGGGACGAAACGGAGGCCTCCTCCTTCGCCCTTATGGGGTTGTTTTCGGGTTTGGACGGGTGTTTCATCTCGAACGTGGACTAGTTAGTCCAGATGACCTGGTTGATGTCCTCAGCCCTTTAGTTTTTTAGCCTCAGGCATAACGAAACTCATGTTTGGCCATTTTAAGACGTTTTTGACTGTTTTGAGCCCTCCGGTAAGCAAAGCTTAAGTCACCTTGAGTTATGTACCCCGTAAGAACAATTTTAGACAGCTGGTAATCCATCCTGAAAAGTCCTCTTACCAACTTTCTAACCCTTTGACCTTTTTGATGGCCACTTTGGCGCTACACAGTTTTGGCCACATGGCTCACTCCTGAGAGCTGACAAAAAAGAGGATAAACTTGCAATGATTGACTCCCGACAAATCATCGGTGTCACATGCTGACTGTGCGTCCAGTTAGCGATGGACATTGTCTACAGACTGGTAGGCCTCAATCACCCTCAATCGTCGCGAATGGTCACGTGCTGACTAAATACCGAGACGTGCGTTATTTTATCTCTGTTATTCATGTTCATTTTCCGATCGTTTTACTTATAGGTTGTCGATGCGCAATAAACATTCTGGAATGGAAAAAAACGTACCCGTATTGGAGACCTCTATGTTGCGGCGTTAGCCGTCTGTGTAGGAAACGGGCTCTCTAGCAAAAACTATTTTGTTACGGAGCGAGCGAAGCGAGCGGAGTCTTTCCTTAGATTAACGGAAATTTCTGAGTATGAGCGGCCGGCCGGCCGGCCGGCCGTGGTCACGCTTTTGCGACGCTTATATCTCAGCAACCACTTGACCGATTTACACGCGGTAATTTTTGTAGGGTAGCTTCATTCCTTCTACCAAGTATTGGACTATTCCCGATGCATGCGGGTGACCCCTTATGCACGTGCCACGTGCAAAACGAAGAGGTGTCACTTTTGTAATTGTTGCAATATCTCGGTAACTACTTGGCCGATTGCGCTGAAAGTTGGCATGTAGGTAGGCACCCACTAGGCAATGCATATACATGTGCCAGAGTTGGGGTGCTGCTGCACGTGCGCACGTGCAGGGGTCGATTCCAGATCTCGAGAACGGCTGGACCGATGGCGCTCAAATTTGGTACATGGTTAGGGACCGGTTAGTAGGGTGCCGTGCACAAGTCAGTTGGGACCCATTTTGCACGTGCGCACGTGCAGGGTGCCGCTTCCAGATCTCAAGAACGGCTGGGCCGATTGTGCTCAAATTTGGCATATCGCTAGAGACCGGTTAGTAGAGTGCCGTGCACACTGCACAAGTCAGCTAGAGGTACCCCCTCGAAATTTCGCACGTGCAAGGCTCACCCTCTCGCTCGCTCCGTTAGTCGCCCCAAAAGGCGTTATACTGGTCTACAGAAATTAGTTACTGTGGAGCATATTTCTACTAGCCATGGCAACCACGGAAGCTCAGTAACGAACCAATTTCAGCGTGCCTTTAAGCAAGAGAGCCTAAAAACGTAAAATTTAGGTGAGAACGAACTTATGGGACACCCTGTACGTGCAGCACAGCAGAGTGGTGTGATATGCTTCGCAAAGAGGCTGTAGTTCGTACGGCACGATGCGCATTAGTGCAGAACGCTCTCCATGAGAGATTCTTCAACTTTCCTGGATATTGTAATATGCGGAGTGCGCTTTTCTTGTCTATTATTTAGCAAATAAGTTTGTGTTATTGAACCTTGGACCCAGCTCCTTTTTTCGCTCTTTCGTCGCTCTTGCGATATTTTCTCCGCGCCTGCAGGATTTGTTACCCACATCCTTCATTACCTCCCCCCCCCCCACTACCACCACCCAATGCTTGTTTAATGTTTATGTGGGTAATTTTCTTGTTAGCTTTGGTGATTTGACTTGTTTGATCTGAATCATCAATATGTTTTGCATCAAATTCCAATTCCATCAAAGCCTGACACATCTCGTCCCATTCCACTGACTGCAATTTTCTGCGGCTGCCCCCACCAACCGAAGACCATCCCCTTCAGGAGTCTCATGTATCGAGTACCGGACAAAAAAGGAGGATAGTTTGACGACGGGCATCATTACCTCTCCTATACGCACGATACAATTCAAATTTTACAACATGATCTTATCGTTTTCGTTAACATTTGTAGAGGCGAAGTCGTACAGCGAAATTAATTACTGTTAGCTTACATCATCTTACCGAAATAGGTTACCGAAGTATAAAAAACTTACTGTAAGATGAATGATTAATGCGTAGCTTATTGTGTAAGATATGGAGATCCTGATGAAGTAGTCAATGAAGAAGTCTAAGAATACCTAATGGCATTTTTAGATATCCAGAGGGCTCTCATGTCAAATTCGAAACCTTGGTTCAACTGACCTGTCTTTGAAGCTCAGCAACATAATTTATGAAATCTGATGGCCAAGAGTTGCGAACGAAAATTATAATTAAAATCTAAATCTTTTTGTATTTCAGACGTTTCGACAAACACTGTGTCATCGTCAGTGATTGATATAAAATATTTCCTAAAGTCCCAAATCACATTTTTAAAATGTGATTTGGGACTTTAGGAAATATTTTATATCAATCACTGACGATGACACAGTGTTTGTCGAAACGTCTGAAATACAAAAAGATTTAGATTTTAATTATAATTTTCGTTCGCAACTCTTGGCCATCAGATTTCATAAATATGTCTTACAACACTGAACAATCAGCAACATAAGTTGGTGGCAGATTCTATTGGAATATTTCGGTTGGTTACAAATGAGATTGAAGAAGTCCTGTCATGCTGCATTTTTACTTGTTCGAGTGCCTGGACTTACATATGTTATGTTTTTACGGGGGCATTTTAGCGAGTTTGGTTACTTCTTGAGCCATTTTGACTCATCTTTGACATTAAATGAACGAGGACTTTGTTTCGTTTGAAGTTAATTAATATGCTGAACTCTTCTAAGGCACATCTAAGGATATCTGGAATGAATCATTTGAATTAAATATTCCGACTGGCCAATCTTTCTGGTCAAGTGATGTGGTTCAGAATGAGTGTCATTGACTTGTGCACCTGCTAATCGTCATGCAACGCCAAGTTCATCATTTTTAAGCAGGCTGAAGGCTGCTGACTTGAAGAAGGCTGTTGATGTGAAGGTAATAGGCGATCATGGGATGTTTTATTCGTACTTGAATTTAAGTTCATATTTCAGTTATATCTGCCTTTCCTGTTGTATGCTTGTATATATTTTGTGCTACTCTTGCAATATGTCGGCCTATATAAAAGCTGATTGAAATCCCTAGTTTCAAACCTACAAAAATTGCGCATTTTTTCACGCGACCTATTAATTTTTGCATTCATGGTCATATTTGTGCAATGTCTGTGGCTCAATGGTTTCCTTGTTTACATTCGAAACGGTGTTCATTGTTAAGTAGAGTGATATGCATGACCCAACATCCTCATATTCAGTTTTTTTTTCCGCTGCTGAAGACGAGCAAGGACATTTTCCTCCACTTGACTTCCCACGGAGTTCTATAGCCTTGACTTGACCGTCGATTTGCCCTGCCATCGATAACACATATTCTGAGCTCATGTTTTATTTCAAACTCCACACTACAAAAGAACGTGATGAGGTATGCAGGCGATCTTCACATATTATCTCCATTTTCGTTCAGCCGTGGTAACCATATCCGTAACCATATCCCGGTCCGTAGCTATGCACATGGGCACTAGAGTAGCCATATCCATATCCGTGGTAGCCGGGGTAGCCGTGGTAGCGCAGGGAGCGGCCGTAGCGGCCGTGCGGGTAGCCGTAGCCCGGGTGGCCGTAGCCGTAGTGCCGGTAGCCGTAGCGCGGGTACGGCCCGGAAGCCGTAGCGAGCGCCACCAGGGCGGCCAGCACGACCAACTGCAAAGAGAGAAAGAGAAAGTTACGGTCAGGGAGGAATTTCGTATCATATTTTGTATCGTCACTCAAATCGGGCATGGTAAGTTTTGGGGGTTTAGTTTATTAAGTGGATTCTAGATTCTAGAAGCATTCAGCTTTACGTCGCTTGACATTTGAAGATTCGAGTAAATGTTTACAACGCTCATGATTTGCATCAGCTATAAAATAGTGGAATACATAACATATTCGAAAAAAAATGACTTGTATAAAAAGATGAAGCTGAGTGCAACCTGATTTTAAGTACGTTGCACTTGAAATAAGGTTGCAGATATGAGCCCACGGACCCCTCAGTTCAACTCTTACCACCAGCTTGGCGTTCATGTTGCGAGGCTGCGGCTGCGGTTCTAAACAGACAGTGTGCCGACTGGTTGGCTGCCGCGGCTTATAAGGCAGAGCTGCCGCAGCCTTGGAGAGCCCCTGAGGGCCCGGGGCACCACGAGGGGTCGAGAGGGTTTCGGAGCTTCGGAGGTCGGTGGTGTGCTACGTATAGGGGAGAGTGGGGCAAAGCGGCCACCCGGGGCAAAGCGGCCATCCATCGTTTTAGCCCTCCACAGCTGGCGTCAGTTCCAATTTATGATTTCCAATTATACTTCTCTTTGCGGTCGTTCGAATGAGCCAGACCGGGGTTTCAGGCCCATCGCCATTGTTCTGTGAAACACGGAAAAGCATTTCTTGCCAGGTTACCAATTATGTTTACAATTTTTAAATGTTATTTTATTCCATAACCGTTTGGAATTTTTATAAGCGTTTTTGTCCATGCATTGCGTGGTTATCGTACATGCCTTCTACCAATTTTGATGCTTTTTACCCCACTAATAGCTGAGCTGGAATATTTTAGTCTCGGACGGTATGCGCGGGGCAAAGCGGCCGGGGCAAAGTGGCCAGCCCCCAATTGGCCATAAGTTGTTTCCATCTGGATAAAAACATTATTTATATTCAAATGTGTCGTCATGCATTCATCTTGGCCACTTTTCGGTTACATGAGTTACCAAATTATGCAATTAAATGTTTTTCCAAGAAAATTATTTCTTTGTTTAGCAATAGGTGGGAAGATAACAAAGTAAACATCCATCTTCCCTTAAACCTTGTCACCATCAAATACCCTAGTCGTGCATGAGGCAACTATTCTGTTTCTCATATCGGGACTTGAGAAGTCGCCAGTGGCCGCTTTGCCTCAGGGATGGGGCAAAGTGGCCATTATGCTATAGGTTTAAAGTTTTGTCAATATCTCCCATATGTGAACGCCTTTGGAAATGAAACGCAGTTGGAATAAAAGACAATTTAATAGGGATCACATTGGTATAGAAAGAATCTTTCCAAGTTTAAAAATCAAGCGTCGGCATCGTTAGAAACGTTAGGGTGGCCGCTTTGCCCCACTCTCCCCTATCAGAAAATGCCACACTGGTAGCAGGGATGCATTGAATATGTTCTATTAGAGGATAAGGTAAATGTATAGGTATTTGACGCAATATGTTATTGACTGACTTGCAAAAGAAGTCTCAAATAGCCTTTGATTTCGAGGAAATTTGAGAGAAAAGAAATTTGCTTGGCGTGGAATTCTACCTATTTTACAGTATACCTATTATTTGCTTTGCAAGTTTGTGTGATAGAAGTCTACCGTCGCAATCACGAACTGATATTTGGCTACACAAATGAACACAAACAAATTCCTTCAATCTCTTCTGATAGCATGCTCTGTCTTCGATTTTTCCGTTGTCTTTGATCTGTCATTTTACTTTTGATTTGTGAATGATAAACAAAAGGCATACCATACATGCATCAACAGGCAGGCGTCTTTTCCAAAATAAGTTGGCATGCTTTTATTGGTGCGCACAAGATACTGGGATGTTTTGCTAAGCGCCTTTAGACGCGCCTGAATTATATGTGGACACTAGCATCTATCTGAGATCTACAGGCGCTATAAATAGGTGTTTATAGGCAACAATCAGCACTGTGCTCATATTCTTCTTGAGCCATTCTCCGTTTTTTCCCGAGCTAATAAGGGTCTAAAATGAATGAGTCAGCCAATTACGCTCCGGCTGAATTATCTTGTCTCGCTCCCCAACTAACCTGACCAAATACTGGGGCCATTTGTCCGCGTGGCAAATGTGGAGGTGAAAGTCGTAATTGACCAAAACTATCTGGCCAACTAATTGCATCTGCAATGCAACTTCAAACATTGCCGAATTAAGAAGACGACCGTATGAGAATAAGTCTTTTTTTTCCAAAGCGTTGCTTCCTTTGGACATACCACCACAGTCACAGGGTTACCCTCGCTCGCAATTTTCGATTGAAATTGTTTGCTTATGCTAAACTGTATCTTTTGTTCAGGAACAAATTCAATGATTGTATCTGCAACCAGCATGCAATTTAAAGGTCAATCATTGATCATTGATAAGATGTCCCTAAAACCTTTCCCATATGGTTCATCCTCAGTTTTAATGGTTTGTTCATTTTGCGATTTATGATGTCAGCAATTGTGACACTTTACCAAATTGTAGGTAGGTATCTGACACCATAGGTTCTCTTTGAATTAAATCAGTACCGTTTGCTTTGTTTTTACTGGTCACTTTCGGCTTGCACTCCTTTCAGCTTGCGGCTCGTTTTGTCTTTGTCAGTGGTACTCTTCTTTCAGCTTGCGATCCCAACTATCTTTCCATTCCGTCGTATTGCCCCTAAACACAAGCCTTCATCATCATCATCCTATTGTCTGTTCATTGTCTCGTTATTTCAATAAATCAACCTCTATTACGTTTCCGGGTTGTTCCTATCGCCTCAGCATTCGTAAATAAATGGAAGGTAGTTCAATTAAAGCCTAGCCGACTGAAAAACAAAACCACAAAGTAGGCGGGGACGCGAGGCAACAACACGCTCGAATTATTCGACGGCTGGTCGTGACTTTGACCTTAGAGCGGTTCGAGGAGGCTGTGCATCAACAGCCGGCCTTGGACCTCGAGCGGGGCGGGGCGGGCAAGACGGCCCGACCTCTTTAGGGCGGAGCGGGGGGGGGGGAGGGTCATAACCCTTACCGTACGTGGTCGGGTTGACCCCTTGTCACCCTTCCCCATTCACACGGGGGTGGCCACCACCCGTGTGACTCCTCCCCTTACACCCCGCTGTGAGAAGTCGAGTAAAGGAGTCGGCCGTAACGGATGTGTTGCCGTAACGGATGTGTTTTGAATGATCTATGGCTGCTGGCTAATAGGATACACCACGCTAAGCTCGTCTCTAATTCTCCATTGCAGTCTGGTTGGATAATCCGCCATTATAGAGATCGGAGCGTTATAAATTTAATGTAACTTCACATTGACATGTCGCTATTTTAATAGCAACTTAGTGTGCATTTTGCATGGTGAATTTAGACGGATTTCGTAAACAAGGTTAGAGAAATAAGGTACCTTTTTTAAGGTCACCGTTGTGGTTTCGTTTATCTATCTATCAATAATATCGCGGCTTGTATTGCTGTTTTTATTTTATTTTTAATTTCAACTGACGCGATCCTTTTCCCATATCTAACCGATCTTATCTTTATGAAGCATCCACGATCTGTCCTATTTTCAAAAGACAATTTTCCAATTTCAATAGAAGACTTTTTGTCAGGGTTTCCATCTAGGGATGTCTGCATGGTGCTTACTGCTTACCTCAAGTTTGCTCACCACCCATCGCTGTTGCACATTTGAAGTCGAGTCCTATTCGTTCTCGAAGAAGAAATCGATGCCTCCTCTTTGATAACGTATTTTTTTTCACAAGCACGAGTACGATCGTTCACAGGTAACAGAGGTACAACAACACCATTTGGGGGTTTTAACGGTTATTGCAAGGAGTCCTGCTGTCTGTTCCATATTGATTTCGCCTATGTCTCCAATGACTTTATAACTCGTAAATTTCTGTTCGACCCTTTCATCATGTGGTTTTGGATCATAAAATAAAGAGAAAGGGAGCTCTTAGAATCGCTTTTGTATGCTAGTCGAGGGTGTGATCTATAGAACTTCAACTGAAAGCGAAAACTTTGAAGATGAAATATGAAGCGTGTCAAATCGAATATCATGTGGCATGGCTGGCCTGGCCACTCGTCATGACACAATCTCTAGTTTCATGCGCTGTCATTTTCCGCTTGTTTTTCCCTTAAACCCGTATTGGAACTTTGTCAACCGTTAGTTTTGCCTTATAAGGTCGCTGATTGACGGCGGGTTTCAACACGCCCTCTCACCCGTTGCATATTGTAGTCAGCAGATGTCTCCCAGTCCCCTAGCCTTAGCTTAGCAACAAGCTCTTAGTAGGTCTCCCAGGTCTCGCAGTAGATCTCAGGTCCTCCTGCCTTTACCCGCCGGTCGTTTTTCCACGACCTGAGATCGCTCCCGCTGCCACCATACCGCCCGGGGCTGCCAAGGCTGCGGCAGCTCGGGCCCCCATATAAGCTGGCCCAGCTCGGCAGAGGGCATACTTCTGGTGCTCGGCAGCAGTGCACAGAGCTCAACATGAACGCCAAGCTGGTGGTAAGCGAACTATTGCTTTGAAATTCACATTTGCTTTTGTTTGCTGTTTGAATTTTAATCATTCGATTTTTGTAGTTTTTAGCTGTCAATTGTTAGAAACTCATTCTATTCTTTATTTCGTTTTATAGCTATTTAAATGATTTTTGTGCGATTACGCTGCACCGATTGGCGCATTATCCGCCGACTATTTATACCTACTATATCTTAGCACAATGATGTTTCATTACGTTTTCATCGTGTAATGCTTTCACAGATTTTACTTAAATTCCAACTTAGAAATTTAACAAGCTCGGCTGACCAACATGTCCTTATCTTCTCAGTTGGTCGTGCTGGCCGCCCTGGTGGCGCTCGCTACGGCTTCCGGGCCGTACCCGCGCTACGGCTACCGGCACTACGGCTACGGCCATCCGGGCTACGGCTACCCGCACGCCCGCTACGGCCGCTCCCTGCGCTACCACGGCTACCCCGGCTACCACGGATACGGATATGGCTACCATGGTTACGGATATCCTGGGTATCGTGGATATGGCTACCATCACTAAATGCAACGGCCAATTGCCTTATTTGGCCAGATGCTGGATGAAACGGATTTCGAACTGCGCTGCTGTCTTGTCTTGTCTTTGTCGAATACATATTTCAGCAGAAAGTCATTATCATAAATTCCGGTTAAGAACGTGGTCATCGGGCAATGAGTGTGTCTCGGAGACCAAAGACGTGGTTTGGTGGCCGAATGAATGCTGCTTCTCGCTCCTATTTAAATGGCGAACGAATGACATTGATCGCCCGTCTCACCCTAATAACACGAGGATCAATGGTTTGGAGAGTAAGGTCGTAGCCTGCTACGTGCTGGGAAAGTCAACTGTTTTTTAACGTGCTGGGCTGGTCTACTGTTTTTTTTTTTTTTACGCACTGATTAATTCGGTGGCCACGATCGTGAAGAAAAACGTGAAAATTTCAACAAATGGCTAATGTCACTTTATATTGGTGGCATCGTGGCACACATATTATAACCATACATAATTGATTTTGTAGAGCTTGGTTGACGGTTTATTGAGGCACCTACTGAAGTTGCAATAGATAATTTCATACCCAGAAATGCTCCGGTTATTTTTAAATAGAAAACGCAAGCGAAAAGTGTTTGTCTGTTTCAAACAGCCTGCGGTTAATAGCAAACAATCAAGTTTGGATCAACCTTTGGGTTGATTCAAACTTGATTGTTTGCTGCTATTGTCCTGCTGTTGTCCGAACGGGATTTGGAAATTAATGTAAAAAGGCCGCTGTTGCAGGCTGCCGGGAGACCCTTGCTGTTGTCGCTGCCTCGTTGCTGCCAGGCTTTTTTACTCGATATATCACATTGAAACGGATCCACTCTTCACAGCATTCCATATGTGATTTGTTTCGTTTCTTAGACAACAGATATTGGTCATTCATTTATTCAATAAATAACACTAGCAGCTGTGGCTAAAAGGAACGGAACATAATCATGAGAGAATTGCTAACCCTAACAATGAAAATTCCTAGAAGTAGGTAAAGCCTTAATGGCCGTATCCGTATCCGGTTCCCACCAGGCCGTATCCGCCGCGGGCGAATCCGTATCCGAGGCCGAGTCCGCTGCCGTATCCGCGGGCAAGACCGGCGCCGTAGCCGTATCCGCCGTAGCCAGCGCCGTAGCCAGCGCCGTAGCCAGTGCCGTAGCCCTTAACGATAGTCTTGGTGATACCGTGCCCGTATCCGCCGTACTGGTTGCTGTGGGATCCGGAGATGGCGTTTCCGTATCCGTGTCCGTATCCGTAGCCGCGGGCCAGGCCGAGACCGTATCCTCCGTAGCCGCCGAGGCCGTATCCTCCGTATCCGCGGGCCAGACCCAGGCCGTAGCCGCCGTATCCGTATCCGGCGCCGTATCCGCCGTATCCGGCTCCATAGCCGGCTCCGTATCCGCCCAGTCCGTATCCCTTGACGATGGTCTTTGTGACGCCGTGTCCATATCCGCCGTACTGGTTGCTATGGGATCCGGAAACGGCGTTTCCGTAGTATCCGGAAGCGGCGGCCGCCGCCACAAGAGCCGTCAGGCACACGAACTGAAGAGAGAGCAATGGGGCAGAGGTTAGTTCATGTTGTTGAGTAAAGTTATTGGCCGTTTCAAAGTTTTGCATGTGCAAAATGCGACGGAAAATCCTGATTAGACTCGTAACTTTTGACACGATTGTTTTGCAGCTGAAGTGCTCCGATTCTTGAATCATTACGCTTCTTCTTATATAGACGGGTCAAGTGAATTTCATTTGCAGAGCGATCTATTTGTCCGTAATCTAAACACTATCTGGAAGTTGGATCAATTCCAAATGATCTCATTAGTTGACTCAAATAACCCGAGTGACAACGGCAGCATTCCCGGCCGTTTTTACCGTCGCCGGCCGCGTTGTAATCGTCTCACAACCGCCGCCGATTATACTCACAGTCAGGGAGCTCATGGTGTTCACTGTAGGGGTACCGGTGACCGAATGATAGCGACAGCCTGTGATCAGGTTATATACACACTCACTGGTGTGCAGCGCGGCCTGGGGCGGTGGACCGCCAGCCAACGCCCCTGAGATCGGGCTTCGAAAGAACCCGACCCAGAGTCACCCGGGAGTGAGGTGCATAGCTCTCCAGAACCTGATCCTGAGACACTGAGAACTTAGTGAGGAGGTCTCCAGACCCTGATCCTTGGAAGTCTACACATAGCTCTCCAGAACCTGATCCTGAGACACTGAAAACTTAGTGAGGAGGTCTCCAAACCCTGATCCTTAGAAGTCTACACATAGCTCTCCAGAACCTGATCCTGAGACACTGAGAACTTAGTGAGGAGGTCTCCAAACCCTGATCCTTTGAAGTCTACACATAGCTCTCCAGAACCTGATCCTGAGACACTGAGAACTTAGTGAGGAGGTCTCCAAACCCTGATCCTTGGAAGTCTACACATAGCTCTCCAGAACCTGATCCTGAGACACTGAGAACTTAGTGAGGAGGTCTCCAGAGCCTGATCCTTGGAAGTCTACACATAGCTCTCCAGAACCTGATCCTGAGACACTGAGAACTTAGTGAGGAGGTCTCCAAACCCTGATCCTTAGAAGTCTACACATAGCTCTCCAGAACCTGATCCTGAGACACTGAGAACTTAGTGAGGAGGTCTCCAGACCCTGATCCTTAGAAGTCTACACATAGCTCTCCAGAACCTGATCCTGAGACACTGAGAACTTAGTGAGGTCTCCAAACCCTGATCCTTAGAAGTCTACACATAGCTCTCCAGAACCTGATCCTGAGACACTGAGAACTTAGTGAGGAGGTCTCCAGAGCCTGATCCTTGGAAGTCTACACATAGCTCTCGAGAACTTGATCCTGAGACACTGAGAACTTGGTGAAGAGATTTCCAGAGCCTTGGTGTCTACACATAGCTCTCCAGAACCTGATGCTTTGACACTGGGGGCTGAAAATGCAGCCTTCTAGAACCTCCAGCTTAGTTACGAGGAACTGAGCATACGACTCTCCAGTACCTGATCCTGGACACATTGGAAATTGGGCAACGAGCATAGAGGTCTCCAGATTCTGATCTTTTGGAAACTGGAACTGAACATGGAACTGGAAACTGGAGGTTTCTCCTGAACCAGATCCTTGCACATCTTGAGCTAATCACTGAGCTCTCCAGCGCCTGATCCTTTGTCATTGTTATCTGAACATGTACTGGGTTGCCCAGAAAAGAACTTTCCCAAATTTGTCAATATTTCTTGAAAGGCGTTGAAGATCCTTCTCTGTCAGGAACTCGGCTTTCCAATATATGGCAAAGACTTGCCTTATCGCATTCGGCTATTGTTGGATTTGAGCAAAACATCGGAATTCATTTTACGGTGGATTCGCATCACAAGATATGACCTGTTTTAAGTAAATCAATGCGTGACTTATGCTTCGATAATTGACACAAAACATAACATTCTGTTTTTTTTTTAAACGCTGATGATAAACAAAATGGCTTTTTGCTTATATAAGGCTCAAGGTTGTCTCGAATTAGGTGTTATAATAAAACAATATGTATAGTAAAACAATATGTGAAATGAGTGTCTCTTTCTTTTAGCGGATTTTTTATTCATTGAATACTATGATAAGTTCACCTCTCAGCAACTGATTCATTTCCAACATCGATTATTTCCTCGGCTCATGTAAAAGGAGTTAGTTCGAGGGACAGACCTCTGAACACTAAGTTCTGTGTCGTAAGGGGTGTACTGTAGAGTGTAGATGTTCAGAGGCCTAAGTATATGGTTGAGGCTGATCGAAATTTATAACCTACGTTACGTAATCGCCACGCCCTTTTTATTAAACCTTTACTTTATGCTTCTTAGCCATGCGTATTGCGTACCTAATGGCGTAGGAGTTGTGTTAGTGCTACGCTGCTGTGCGCGAATGCAGTCGCCGCGGCTCGCCAAACCTGCGCTGGTATACTGTGCCGGATGGCTGGCTGTAATGCGGCACAGTATACCACCCAGGCAATTCAGTTCCTACATGGTTATTGTAGACTGCGGTCTGCAGATAAGCCGATATGATTTCATGGATAGGCTGAACTTGACCTGTGGACTGCTGCAATAAAACGTTTTTGAATACACTTCTATTTGTTGTATGTTTCTGATGCACCCGTAGGTGCATCAGAAACGTCATTTAACCCTCGCATGTGTAGGGGGGGGGGTCGGATGGACCCCCCCCATGGTTTTTCGCGAATAACTCGCGTAAAAAGCGGCCGATCGCGACGAAACTTTCAGTACCCTCGCATTGATCAATTTTACACCTACCCTGAAAATTTCATGACCCTGACCCCAATGACCTTTGACCTGTGACCTCTTTTCCGAGACCATGTTTGGCCGGAATCGCGATTCCGCGTATGTCGGCTCGCATTAGCCGCGCGTTTGCAAGCTTTTCGTGGTTTCAAACGTTCAAACATGTGATTTGATGTTGCTCCCATGCATCAGGGTGGGTGTCAAGGTCACCTGAAGGTCAGGTCAGGTCATTGACCTTTGGTGACCTCGGTGCACTTTTTCGAGTTTTACATGTTTCTAGGCAAGTTTTTGGAGCTGAATTCGAATTTAGCAACCATTTGAACATTTACGAAGTAGTTTTGGTGACTTCGTAACATGTTACGAAGCTGTCAGAGGCGGTTGACACGTAATACTAATACCCGTCACGACGCCTACTGGTTGACCTGACCTGACCTGACCCGACCTGGTCTAAATGCTTAAAGACATCATCTGTGATCAAAACTAACACGATATTCGTGATCAGCACCCCGGAAAACCCCTTAGCAGCCACACTTTACGACTTTCTAACAGGTCCCGATTTTCCCGACCTTGGGTCATTGACCTGACCTGGAAGGTCAACCAATGACCTAGGACCTTAAAATTGGGTATCATCGGCTTCCTCTCGTCACGGGCAACACGCTCGTTTTTTCCGCGAAGCTCTAGCTCGATCAGGGGCCAAACGGCAAGGGGGGGGTCCAACCGACCCCCCCCCCCCTACACATTAGAAGCTGGAAAACGCCGCACACATGCGAGGGTTAAATGTATTGTAAAAGGCTGACATTCATCATTCCATCCAGTAGATTCAGCCGTGGATGCCTATTGCCCGCCATACGATTAACAGTACCGTAGTCCGTATGACATCTCATTATTGTAGCGCCCAAACGTCCGGAGACGTATCGCTGTAGATTCAAAATATCATTGCTAAGAAAACATAGCTTAGCATATTTATGATGGATTGTAATTTGTAATGATAAAATATTTACAATACATGATAGGAAGTCGTGCATCTTTTTCAACGTATTTTGGATCTATCCAAATCCTGCTCTGAATCATCATGATGACTCACAGCATGGTTATTGTTGACGCTTTGGTGCACCCACAAGTCGCTGATGTCGGAAGGACACCCCATGACACCCCTTACGAATCCCACATGCAGTTTAAAGTAAATTTATGTCTGTCTAAGATTTCATGAAACGTACCGATTTCATTGTTATCATGTATTTTCTAATAAATAACACTAGTTCATATCGCAATAGCACGGCATAACACGTCAACAGGACACTCAATTCACAGACCGACAGCACGTCCCCGAACTCTAGTGGCCGTAGCCGTAGATTCCCGAGCCGTAGCCGTAGCTCAGACCTCCGAGGCCGTAGCCGCCGTAGCCAGCGCCGTAGCCGTAGCCAGCACCGTAGCCAATGGTGCCCACCTTGGCAATACCCAGGCCGTAGCCGCCGTAGCCGCGGCCGAGTCCGTATCCGTATCCTCCGTATCCGCGGGCCAGGCCGAGGCCGTATCCTCCGTAGCCGCCGAGGCCGTATCCTCCGTATCCGCGGGCCAGACCCAGGCCGTATCCGCCGTATCCGTATCCGGCGCCGTATCCGCCGTATCCACCGAGTCCGACGGTTCCGACGACGGCCTTGGTGACGCGTCCGTACCCGTATCCGCCGTACTGGTTGCTGTGGGATCCGGAGATGGCGTTTCCGTATCCGTAGTATCCGGAGGCGGCGGCCACCGCCACCAGGGCCGTTAGGCACACGAACTGAAGAGAGAGAAGACAGTCGGTAAGGTCAGGACATTGTCTCACGTATTGAAGATCCATGAGCTTGAGAACTGAAGGTTCTGTGACGAATGCATGACATTTTCACCGTGCAACAATAGTTATTTTCAAGATGACATTCCGTTTCACGAATTTGGTTGTGCTCGATTGTGATGAGATCAATGCTATCAACGCTTTTTCCGACAATATTTTATGTTCTTTGCACTCATGTAGGCGAGTTTTCTTCTGAAGCCTCAAATGCTGCTTTCCAAAGTCACACTCGATCATAAAGCTTCAGTCACTTTCGCGTGTAACCACGGCTTTGAAAGTTCGTTCCACTCACAGTGAGAGAGTTCATGTTGATCGTTGTGCTGGAACTGAGTCGAGCGATACAGTCTGATCACCGGCACCGGTTTATATACCCGACATGTCACGTGACCGCCCCCTGGCAGCCTTTTGTGGGAAGGGGAGGGGTGGTGACTGGTCACGTGACCGACCCATGCACTGCTGTGGGGAGGGGAGGAGTGGCCGGTGACAGGTCCGACCCCGCCCCTCGCTTTTGGTCTGCAGGGTTTGCGGGGTAGACGGCCTGGAAGCGTTCTGATTGAAGGGCACCGAAATTGAGTGAGTCTCACGCTCTGATTCTAGGCTACACAGATTCTTGGTGATACAGGGTGTCCCAAAAATAATGTCACACCTTTCCAGCGTCCATTGCATGATAATAATAAAAATGACAGTTGCGCTTTTCTTACATATGTATCTCCCCTTTCCCCTGATACAGGCAAGCATATACGGTCCGGCACGCCAGACATCAATTTGCCCAGCATCTGTGAACTGATCGACCGGGCGCATCGAACGTGTCTGGTCAGTAGAAGTGTCCTATTTGGGGATCCAGGTAACCCGCCCCGCCCCGCAACCCTTCTCCAGATACCCACAACTACCCGCATGGGGAACTTCATTGGTTGCAGCCCGCAACAACACGCATAGAAGCCAAAAAGTTTTTCCACTTTCTAGTCATATTTTTCCAGGACATCTTACTGCATATGTTAAGTATTCTAGGCCATGCTTCAGCATATTTGTTTTCCATTTTCAAGGGGAAATCTTCTTTTGTTTTAGCTAAACAGTTTCTGATATTTTTTATACCCACATAAAACCCGCACCAGGGTATTTCCTGGTGATGCAACCCGCTTAAAGCCATGCGGGTTTTGTCTAATGTCTACTCACTCATCGCGGGCTGGTGGGTCGAAAAAGAGCATCTCTACTGGTCAGTGTAACTTCGGGTGGTTCTGGCGCCATTTTGTCAATCTTTTCCCGGACGATGGCCCTCAGATTTTCTATCGGCAACAGGTCGGGGCTGTTCCCCGACCTTTGGTCGCCATCCCAGAATACCGGGAAGTGCGATCGACACCACTTCTGCGTCGTTCTAGCTCGATGAGCCGGGGCACCGTCCTGTTGACAGATGACCCAAGACATCTTCAGCAGAAGCTTTCGGCTGGAGACGTGGCTTGCTGGGCCTCAGAGATAACCTCGGGTACCGATGGATTGTCGACTTGGAGACTGGATGACCGTTGGCAGTCGGCCTCATTGCCAGTTTCCTTGTGGACAGGATTGGCCCGTATTTATCACCGCGCTTCGCGATGACGATTCGGCATTCGCGCTTCCCGCTGACGGAAATCTTCCTGCCGCGATCCCGCTTGTTCTCAGGCGTCTATCCGACTCTGTCGCGTGACAACCAGCGCCAAATCGTGCGGCGACTCACGCTTAGTGCCTCGGCGACCTGGCCGTGTGTCATGCCGCCGGCAACCATGTCGACTGCCCGGCTGCGGGTCGATTTGCTCTGCAGCCAGTAGCGGCGGAACACCTTCAATTAAGGGGGGGGGGGCACTGCCGACATTTGGTCCCATTCTTTCCATGCAACGCCCATAGGGCTAATGTTAAAATACCAAAATCAGAGGTGGCACGGTGCCCCGGTGCCCTCCCCGTTCCGCCGCCTATGTCTGCAGCTTTGTCATCCTTGACACCTGGTCCGCGCGCGCCGGGTACTGCCCCGGAAATGACATCCGTTCACCCTCTGACCGGTCAGGGTCACAAAATTCGAAGGTCACGTGACTAGAATGTAACCAATATGGTTTGGGGGCCAGTACGGTCGAAATTATATTGAAATTTCGCCGTGGCAAGTAGAATCAAGGTTGTGAGAGGGTATGACAATAATATCAGGACACCCTGTATTCAGTTGCGTGATGCTGTGCATTTTTCATGCAAAATTTGCGGTCAAACTCTACTCATGTGATGTGAGACTTCCATTTGATTTGCTGCGTATGGCTTTTCACTCTGTTTAGGGGGCCTCTCCAAGATGTAAAAGTATTTACATTACGATTTAATGACAAGTGCTATGTGCTCATTTATCCTTTGTAATGCTCATGTCGCAATACGTTTGGTATAATTTGACGATGGATCGATTAAATATATAATTTTTCTGCTGCTGCTGTTGTTAATGTGTTTAACCTTCCAGGCGGTGGGGGGGGGGGCATTTTTTTGCCCCCCTTTAGTTTTTTCGATATATCTCGAGAACCGCTGCGCCGATCGTCACCAAACTTTCAGTACCCTCCCGGGAGTAGCTAGCGCACATGGTGACCAAAAATTATTCCAAAGGCTATGATAGGTTGGTCGCTAATGACGTCAGAGTGACGTCAATTCTGCCATTTTCGACCCAAAAAAAGGTTTCGCGGGAAGAGCTGTCAGGCCTACAGCTTTAGAGATACAGAAAAATGTTTCAGACATTAAGGTGGAATCAAGAGGGCTACAAAACTGCAATTTGGGTTTTTCGATTTTTTTTTATTTTGACCCCCAAAAATCAAAAAATAGATTTTTGAATATAATAGCCGAAAAATCCAAAAAGTTTTTTGAATTTCGAAAAAAAAACGAAATATATATGATAGTCCCTACCGCCTTCTATCTACATACCAAATTTGAGATCGATACCTCTTTTTTGGCCAAGATATAGCGAAAAAACTGTTCAAAATTGATGACGTCAAATTTTCAAACTCAATTTATAGCAATTCTAGACCTCGTAGCGCAAAACAAAGACCACCATTAGACTCCCCGTGATGAGCAGCATCAATACCCATTTTATGCAAAACTATCAACTTTGAAATTTGACCTTTTTTACCTGACCTTGACCTGACCTCTACCAGAAAGTGACCTAAACCGTACCTGATGGTCTTATAACCAAGACCATTGAGTTGGAAATGAAAAACTGGCCATAAAACATGCATGGCACAACCTTAGTAAAGTTGGGTTCATGTGGTGACCCTTGGTGACCTTTGGTGACCTGACCTGTGACCTGACCTGGTATGACCAGTGACCTCTAATAGCAACATATGTACTAGACAACTGACGCCCTATCGCTGATTTTCGACAAAATGCGTTTTACTCGGTGTTACAGCGCTTTCCCTAGAAGCCCCGTGAACGGTGAAACATTTTATCTTTGACCTGACCTGTGACGTCATCGGTGACCCCGAGGTCAATGAAATTTGGTTTCCTTCGACAAATTTGACAGGGCTATCGAACGCCGTTTGAATTTTCCGGATCCGTCTAGTAGTTTCGGAGATACGGGGGGGGGGGGCAAAAAAATGCCCCTCCCCCCCACCGCGCGGAAGGTGGCCGCCCACCGCCGCGCCTGCCGGGTTAACCCGCGCACCGACGGGGGTCTGCGCCAACTTCGCACCGACGGGGGGGGGGCGGATGACCGCCCCCCCTGAGATCTCGAGAACGAAGCAAGATAGCGACAAGCGGTAAACGGCATCGGATACGCACGGCCAAGATCTACAATTTTTACTAAGGTCATTTTCAGGTCAGGTCAAAGATGACGTCACAGGGGTCGAAAAAGTCAAAATGGCGGCGCTAGATATGGATAGAGTTTTTCTCGAATAACTTTCGAATTAGTCAAGATAGGAACAAACTAAGGGCATCATCGTGATCCTCTCGTCAATCCGCATCGAATGATATATATGTTGACCTCGAAAGGTCAAGGTCGAAGGTTGACCTCAGGTCACGTGACCTCGAGGTCATCATGTATATCATTCGATGCGTCTTGACGAGCTGAACACAATGAGACCATCCACGCATCTGTATCTTGTTCCTGTACGGAGTTATTGGCCAAAAACCTTTGGTGACCTTTGATGACGTCACATGACCTCACAGCTGCCCAACAGCAAAACAGACCTCAAGGTAGTGAAGGTTGATCGTATATGAAGTCATGTATGGTATATGGGGCCATTCCGACCCGTTTTAGTGGTAAAAACAGGGAGTTGATTTTTCCCCCATTGACTTATAATGGGGAGGTCGCGAAATTGACCTGACCTTAGGTCACCGATATCAAAATTCCGAGATATACAAATTGTAGCTACCAATGACCTAATAATATCCTGCGACTTTCAAAGGCCTCCGACATCTACTGTAGCTCTGGCACGGTGACAAAGTTGCAAAAAAGTGACTTGAGGTTGGGTCATTCAAAGTGACCTGGTGACCTGACCTTAAAAGGTAGGAGGTTCAAACTTGCACACCATGTGTAAAATTGAGGAGGTTATAGTCATACCAAATTTCGCGGCGCTACGCGCCGCGGTTTTCCCGCTATTCGCGAAAAACCTCAGGGGGGGGGGGGGGCGGATATCCGCCCCCCCGTCGGTGCGCGGGTTAATGGAGCAACTGCTACATCTCAAGACCTTTCTGAGTTTCAGCATAGCGTTTTATATTATTGTTGTTTTCATTATTTGTCAGGTGAAAGACTTATATAATATATAGGTGTTACACGCAGACGTCAGTGGGGCGCGGGTGAAGGGAAGTTTTTTAGTGCATGTTTCGGTCATTCAGAACTTCATTGATATAGGGCTGGTGCGTATAAAGCTTGATAAATTGGACTGTTTATTTTATAATAAATAACACTGGTTCATATCGCAATAGCACGGCATAACACGTCAACAGGACACTCAATTCACAGACCGACAGCACGTCCCCGAACTCTAGTGGCCGTAGCCGTAGATTCCCGAGCCGTAGCCGTAGCTCAGACCTCCGAGGCCGTAGCCGCCGTAGCCAGCGCCGTAGCCGTAGCCAGCACCGTAGCCAATGGTGCCCACCTTGGCAATACCCAGGCCGTAGCCGCCGTATCCACGGCCGAGTCCGTATCCGTATCCTCCGTATCCGCGGGCCAGGCCGAGGCCGTATCCTCCGTAGCCGCCGAGGCCGTATCCTCCGTATCCGCGGGCCAGACCCAGGCCGTATCCGCCGTATCCGTATCCGGCGCCGTATCCGCCGTATCCGCCGAGTCCGACGGTTCCGACGACGGCCTTGGTGACGCCGTGTCCGTATCCGTATCCGCCGTACTGGTTGCTGTGGGATCCGGAGATGGCGTTTCCGTATCCGTAGTATCCGGAGGCGGCGGCCACCGCCACCAGGGCCGTCAGGCACACGAACTGAAAAACAGGAAAAACAGGATATAACTGAAATAGCAAGCTTTTTTCGTTTCATGCTAGTCTGCGATTTAAAAGCGATTTCAAGCAGTGAACTTCGAGAAAAGTAAAAAAACAAAAAAAAAAAAACAATAGATATCGAGCATCGGACTCTGAGCTTGTTTGGTGCTGCCTTGCAGTGGGCAACACGTGCTAAATTATCCGGCATAGCTAAATCGTCGCAGCCTAGCACGAATTAGCCTCTTCTTTCTTCCACTCACAGTGAGGGAGTTCATGTTGATCGTTGTGCTGGAACTGAGTCAAGCGATACAGTCTGATCACCGGCACCGGTTTATATACCCGACATGTCACGTGACCGACCACTGACAGCCTATAGTGGGGTGGGGTGGGGGTGGTAGCTGGTCATATGACCGACCCTTGACTGCCTGTAGTGGGGAGGGTAGGGGTGGTGACTGGTCACGTGATTGCCTCCTGACTGCTGTGGGGAGGGTTCAGGTGGCTCCGAGTCACCTGACTTCGAGGAGTTGGGGGGGGGGGGGCTAATTTGCTTATTAATCTGATGCATGTGTTTTCGTGCCCCTGAAATATTAAACTTTATTTTTTATATGATTATTTGCAACCTGTAGAATTTTAGAACTGTTTTGCGCATTTGCAAAAATTGATTTATATTGAATTGCGGTTCCTTGAAAGCCGGCATTGAACTGCTACATTTCAATTTTAAACCTTGGTGGGCAGTGCACCCAAGCGCTGTAAGGTAAAGGCCGCCCCACACTGGACCTCGCTTGAGGGTTGCGAGTCTGCGGGTTTTGGATTCGCGGGTATAATATTCATTCTTGGAGTGATAAACCCTCGCCCGTATAGGGGGAGGGGGGTTGAACGAACACCCCTCGGTTTTTCGCGAATAACTCGCGTAAAAAGCGGCCGATTGCGACGAAAATTTCAGTACCCTCGAGTTGATCAATTCTACACCTACCCTGAAAATTTCATGACCCTGACCCAAATGATCTTTGACCTGTGACCTACCTTTCGAAACCATGTTTGGCCGGAATCGCGATTCGGCTTATGTCGGCTCGCATTAGCCGCGCGTTTCCAGTCTTTTCGTGGTTTCAAGCGTTCAAACATGTGATATGATGTTGCCCCGATGCATTAGGGTGGGTGTCAAGGTCACCTGAAGGTCAGGCCAGGTCATTTACCTTTGATGACCTTGGTTCACTTTTTCGAGCTTTACATGTTTCTAGGCAAGTTTTTGGAGCTGAATTTGAATTTAGAAACCATGTGAACATTTAAGAAGTAATTTTGGTACCTTCGTAACATGTTACGAAGGCACCAAATTCTTTTTTGGCATTTTTAGCATAGTGTGTTTGTTTGTGTGTGTTTTTATGATGTGAAGGGTTTTTAATGGCCAGTATGGTCTGGAATAAAGTTTTGCCTTGTCTTGTCTTGTCTTGTCACTCGTCACGGGCAATACGGTCGTTTTTTTCCGCGAAGCTCTTGCTCGATCAGGGGCGAAGCGGCAGGGGTCCAACGGACCCCCCTTATACGTTCGCGGCTGGAAAACACCAATACGGGCGAGGGTTAAACCATTCTCTTATGGTCACTACATGAATGCAGTGAAGCCGGTACACCCTCAGAAAATTGCATATCATCGCAATAACAGTACTGCGAACCGAACTTCGACTTCAACAGAACACATCAAAACTCGCAGCCCTCGCAGCGAGGAAAATCGAAAGTTGACTCAAAATCAACTTTTGGAATGCGATGCAAGTTGGCTCGCATGCTAAAAACATGCAGACTCGCTTGTTACATGGTGGTGTGGGTCATTAAGCACAGAGTGATTTCTTTAATTTTAAAAAACCCGAAAACCCAAAAACTCGCAACCCGCATGCGAGGTCCAGTGCTGGGCGGCCTTAACTGTCTAATATCATTCAGCTTCATGCAAAAGTCACTGACTTTCTTGGCTCATTTGTATTCTATTCAAATTTTTGTTCGGAGTATCTCCTTATTTGATGTGTGCTAGCAAATCATTTCAAAGATTACCGTTCGAATTGGGATTTATTGACGGCGTTGCGTATCATCGCACCGAAGCACACCAACTTTTCTCTTTCGGCTATCATTGACCGGCTAAAACAAACTTTGGTGCTACGTTCCTCTTAGCCAAAAGTAGGCAGACTGTCGCATAAGGCGGTATTTGATATCTGGCCCGCTATTTTTTGTGGTTGTTTTGTTTGCGCCAAATTGCCAGTAGCATGTTGCTAATCATTGCCAATGCTTGATTGTCCATAGTTGTTTGGTCTTGGCCTTGTGGCAATCTTCCTTTCTTTGTGTTAATCTGGACTGGCGTAATAGCTTTTTACTTGTGTGTTACCTGTAGTTGAGCGTTTAGTGCACGTTAACCCCTTGGCGCAATACTTGTCCTTGAATTTGTAGTGTGCAGTTTTTGTGTGTCAGCTGCCACCTGTGGAACCCGGTCAATCCGTGCTGTCGGACAACTTTTTTCAGGGTGTGTTGGAACGTTTTCATTCAAATACATTCAGGGCTGTTTTCACCTTCGCAGAAAAAAATCCATGGAACAATTTGGGACAGTACATCACTTTTTATTTTCGTCTGGTGTTGAAGAAAGTGATGCAGTAGAATCCGGTTAATAAAGCCTCGGACAATAAATTCAGCCGCTTACTGTGGCCACTTGAGCTGCTCACGGATTTTCTCCATACAAGCATAACTGACTCCGATTAATAAAACTATCGCTCAATAAGTCTAAAATGCCGTGTCACGAAGGTGGATTTATCAAGCAGAGTCTACTATAGCTTTAAATCTGTTCCGCTTACATGAATTTCCATATACATTTCTATTATCTATAATTGCCTGATGACTTTGAAGATGACTTTCTATGCTTCTATAATTTCTATATAACCATGGATTACCTACTACCTGGATCGGCAACTCCGCGGAATTCCCATTGTATTGCGCGACCGCCCGAAAGTGCTGCCACCTATCGAGCAAGCTGATCCCTGCTAAGGACAGCCCGCCGCCGCCGCTCAGTCAGACAGCGGCCGATACAAGCGAAGTCCGAAAATGACGGGCAAGTTACACAGTCTGAACCAGCCGCGGCTAAGTTGAGCATCAGCCAACAGCGTCGGGTCCCGGAAGAGCGGCCCAGGGCGGTTCCACAGACTACGTATCGTTTTGGAAAGAATATTGTGGCGGGTCGCGACTGGCCGATTTTACCTCAGGACGTCGTGTTGTTAGTTCTCATGGCCTGGCGCATTCTCCCTGCAAATACCTTCGATCAAACGACTTTGTGTATCACTCGGGTTGTAGTTATAAATGGACAAGTATTGTATCGAGAGTACATGAACCTCCAGGCTCCACGAGGCACGAATCAAACTATTAACACAGTTACATTTAAGGTAATTACATTACATTAAGGTAATTAAGGTAAGGTTAACATTTAATTAAGGTAACGTTAACATTTAAGGTAATTACATTACATTACATACGGCACTGAAGAAGTCAATAGACGAAACCGGTACGCCTTAAATGTAACTGTTTTAATAGTTTGATTCGTGGAGCCTGGAGGTTCATGTACTCTCGATACATCACTCGGGTTGCCCTCTTGCTCATCAGTTTGAGCATTCCGACTCAGTCGCCGGCACAGGGAATGTGCCGTCCGCCGTGAAACATCCATATCGTTGCCACAGCCATTTCGAGAATCACAAGACAAATGCTGTCATATCGATTAACGAACATCTACATCACTTAATATTTCTTTCAATAAGCATTCCAGGATTATAAGCTTACCATACGTTTTGTTAAAAAAAAACTGTTTCCATATTGAACTTATATTTGCCGTCGCATGACCGAATTGTCTACTGACTACTGAATAAAGGCTGAAACCGACTCTTTCCGCAGTCAGAAATCGTGTGCGAGACCGAGAGCCTATTCAAATACATTGAATCACGGTCGCATCAATCGATTGATGCTATTGCAACTTAATGCATTTGAGTAGGCTCTCGCGTGCGATTTCCTGACTGTGGAAATAGTCTGTTTCGGCCTGAAGTTCAGACTTTAACACGGGTCCAAATGACAACTAAGGTGAAAGATGACACACAATGTATATAATACATACATAGACTGATACGTAAGCTTCGAGAAAAGACGTGGCACATGCCTACTAAACGGTGTCGTAGCACCAAGTTTGTTTCCAATTCACATCTCCCACCACAGTATATCGGGGAATAAATACAAACACGATAATGCACACGAACGCATTATGCGCTAAATAGGTATATCCATAGGTATGTCAGGTTACACACGCTGTGATGCCGTAAACAGTTTTCGGTTGAGCCAGTTCACACCCGGTCCGCCTGCTGCCGTCACGTGTCCGCAGTGGGCGTGCACCTGCATCCTCACAAGGGTCTCGATGATGAAATGAGAAATGATCACATCACAAATCACAAGATGCCAATCAAGTCAGCACGACGTGAAAACTGAACCCATCTCTTTGATCTGAAACAAGGAGAAAATGGGGGAAATTAGATACCTGAGCATACCGTAATGAAATGGAGAGTGAGGGCGTTCCAAGGCAAACTGTTTCCACTTTCCACGCAATGTCACAAATAAAAAAGTATTTTACATCGTGATGATGTTGAGCAAAAAAAAAAAACATGACAAGAGTAACTAAAAATTTAACACCTCATCTGCTAGGCTTAGTTGAAAATGGCCCTATCTCACTTAAATCTATCTGATATCTACACATAATTTGGCTGGCACTCCTTCTCAAAAAGTGATTGTTATGCTCATACCTATATCATTCAATAGAAGGAAACTCACAAACTACTTCGTACATCTCTGGACCTTTGAGAAAAGGAAGCTGATGTCAGGGACCAGGGTCGGCATTCTTTTGTGGTTGATACCATGGCTGCTGTTGTGCTTTCTTTTTACAGTCGGATGGTTCAGTTTTTCAGCCTGAGAACATGATTTAATTTAAATATGGTTTTTATTTCAATATCATTCAACTCTACTTTTGAAATCAGGGTATTGGCAAATGGCAAGCAGGTTATACAAAATAGGTAGCTGAAATGACATGATGCCAGTCAACTGCTCCTAAAGTGTGTTGCACTCTATAGTCAGCCGTTCGGAGAAATACGTAGGAAACTGATGTGGGTGAGCAGTGAGTACTGAGCAGTGGACCAATTCATAGGTATTGGCACCACATAAGAACAAAAGAAACCATAACGGCACACTAACTGTTTTGCTAAACTAAAAACTCAACAAAAACTTAACTAATTCAAAACTAACAATGCATCGTCCACCACCTATCATGTGCTACCAAGGCCGAAATTGTGTCACAAACAACATCATGGTATATCCACATATAAGCTTGAGATATGCTGTGTCAAACATATAACAAACATATAAATAGACATATAAATGAGTAATTCACCAAACGGCCTAAATTATAGGTACGATTTTTAACGACATACGGCGAGAAGCAATGTGCGCCAGTATCGTCAACGGCCGCTCTTTACAGTAATATTTTAGCCCACTCAGACCTTCCAACCATAAGAAAACCTTGCCAGTCTTACCTTGCCATCTTCCTCCATCTTCTGAAACCTTCTAATCTGCTCCAAAGGAGCTGAACTTTTCAAAAAACAAGTAAAACGATCCTATGACGCGGCGCCGACCATTGTTTTGAATAGCACTCGCTCCCCCGCGTGCTTAGCGGTAGCTAGTGCTGCCGCCTAGCGGTGGTCAAAAACATCGAGGAGTTGCCGATCCAGGTTCTACTTCATCCATGATATAACTAAGGGCTCATTGCGCTGAACTTAAAGGGAGATTATGACCTTTTTCCACAAAATCTGAGTTAGGACCATTTTCTGACAAAACACAACAAGTTGTAATGTAAATTAAAACCATTTTGCTCAATTCGGTACCTTGCCGCAAATATCTCAACTTGAAGTCACGTTAGCGGGGAGCGCTGAAAATGACCGTTGAATAAGTACTTACATCACTTTTTGGTACTTGCATGTAATTTTGTAAAATGAGCGTATTCGTTAAATTTGATCTTCATCACATCTAGTTAGTTAATGGTCGTCTATAGTGCCTTCAAAAGATATTCATGGTTTGGGGGTGGTTTATGTATAAATTTACGCAACTATTTTTCCTGTTCATCATCTGTCGCCATATGCTGCTATTTTAGTAGCAACGACTCAATTTTGAATCGGTCCCGCCGACTGCACAATAAAAGAAGATAGATACAACACTTTTGCGGCATCACTGAAAAACTTATGCAGTACTGTTATCAAAATTCTCATAACACCGTTCGACAAACCTGAAGTCTTTTTGAAATAAATATGCTTGTATTTTTCGCTTCAGGCTCTGAGGCCAAAATAATGAATTTCGTAGTCGCAATCGCAAGATTTGGCTGCGTTTCTGGCGCATGCCGTTCATTTGTGGCGCAAAATAATACTTGGAAACAAAGAAGAGTAGGCACTATGTACCCCCGAATTAGAATCTAATTAATTCTAAACCGAATTAACTCTAATTCAAATTAGAATCCTTACAACCAAGCAACGACAAGGCGATAACATAAACAAAAACCCAAGCGTCGCTGTTTGAAACAAAAGCGCCATATACTGCGACTTTTTTATAGAGAAGGACAACGCATTTCGGTGGGTGTTACAAGTACTGCAAGTACTGCTTCTTTTTTGCAAAAATAAAAACCTTTTTCACATACGAAAATGTGCTAGGAAATTTTCATATTTTATAGAAACTACAGTAGAAATAGTATAGATGTCGAGTAATTTTTATTTAAGAAAAAAGAAAGGTCATTATCTCCCTTTAAGCCTGCCGTTGATCACCCACCGGGCCTGATGCATCTCAATGTGCCATGGTCGTTGCGACCCCCACCAGACACGATTTGGTAGCAGAGTAATGACGTCAGCTGGGTTTGAAGTTTTCCCTTCACCCATAAGGCTTACACACAAACTGGTCAAAGTTTGAGCCAGGATTTACTAGTCTGAGAATGCAAAAAGTGATCAAATTTTGGTTCAAACGTGCGCATGCGCACGTGCGCACGTGCAGTTTTACATCCCGAGAACGGCTGGGCCGATTGCGCTCAAAATGGGCGCGCGGTAAATACCGGTTAGAAGGGTGGCCTTCGTAATTCCATGGAAATCTCGCATAAATTAAAGGTGTGCTTTGGGCTTAATAGTGTAAATGTCCATTGTGATCCTTTGCTTTTCTTCTTGTTTTTTTCGTACCTCTTATTTACGTTTGCTGTATGTTGCTTCGTTGTTTTTTTATTTTGTACGAGATAGTTGAGTTTCTTTGGTATAACGGGCAGTGCCTATTCACCTGTGATATTAAATGATCCCTTTTTCTTTGAGCCATTTCGGTAGCCCATGTCGTGTATATACAGTGCGCACAGGCACCCGTGTGATAGATACAGATATAAATTCCTGTCATTTATTCAATAAATAACAAAGCCAAAAGTAAAACACATCGGTACATCATTTCACACTGCAGACAAAATGAGTACGATAAGTTAGTTATCAGTTAAATAGTGTCACAAGGGAAGTTTAGTGGTATCCGTAGCCGTAGCCGAGACCGAGTCCGTATCCTCCGTATCCGCGAGCGAGACCATATCCGTATCCTCCGTATCCGCGGGCCAGACCCAGGCCGTATCCGCCGTATCCGTATCCGGCGCCGTATCCGCCGTATCCGCCGAGTCCGACGGTTCCGACGACGGCCTTGGTGACGCGTCCGTACCCGTATCCGCCGTACTGGTTGCTGTGGGATCCGGAGATGGCGTTTCCGTATCCGTAGTATCCGGAGGCGGCGGCCACCGCCACCAGGGCCGTCAGGCACACGAACTGAAAAACAGGAAAAATGATGCCGTTAGAAAAGTCGAAAAACGCTACTGAGGAAATACGAACTGCTATTCAAAATATCTTTCTGAGCCATGAATTTACTCTCCATTCATGTGTACCTGATTTGAGCATGAGCCAAACTCAAACAAGATCTAAAAGTTCGAAGCTAAATTGCAAGCGAGAGTTGGTACTGGGCCCTTGCCGATGCGACCGGATTGTCTTCCTTCGGCTGCTATTCCTTGGCTATTCCTGGGCTATTCCTTGGCTAACTCACGGTCAGGGTGTTCATGTTTGGTTGGTGTGTTGGCTGACTGAGCTGGTCAGGAGAGCTGTGCCTTCCACCTCTCTCAGCCGGCTTATATACCGAAAAGCCCTGGGCATACAGGTGGTCAACATGAATAAAAACATATCGGTGACCCGCCCCCTCCCCCCTGGGCGGGTCCGGAGGGCGGGGTCGGAGTTGGGTAGGGGGGGGGGGGGGGTCGCCGCGAGCTCCCGACTGAGGAAGCACTCTGACGTTTATGGGCTTGGGCTGTTTGTGTGTGCGTAAGCTGGGTTATGTATGATATATATTCTGGCCCTGGTTGTTAGAATATGTTCATAATGATAACTTCGGTAAATCTGGTAAATGAAACCTGAGATTAGTATGGATTGGTCTGGTACTTTTTTCCATTGGGCAGTAGAGCAGGTGATTCAGCATTCAAAGGCAAATTTCATTTGTATTTTCCTCCCATCCAGTACGATCTTAACACATTTATATCTTGTGAGTTGTGACATACAGCACTGCCATCATCATCATCATCATCATAACCAAGTTTATTAAACAAATTAAACAAATAGCCACATGCAAAGTCGTGGGTGTCCAGAGGCTTTTCTGCTGGTTTAGCCCTTTTAAGAGGCTTACATCTCACAAACTGGTGGGCCGATTGACTTGCGGTAATTTTTGTAGAGTAGCTCAAGCTGCATCCCTTCTAGCAAACATTGGACTTTTACCGATGCATGAGGGGGCCCCCCCACTGCATGTGCCACATGTAAAATGAAGAGGCATGAAATATCTTCCTATTACAATAACTCGGAAAATTTTGGGGCGATTGAGCTGAAACTTGGCAGTTGACATGTGTGTAGACACCCACCGGGCAGTATAGTCTCTCTTGAAAGTATCGCGTCCTGGGCTGCGGCGGCTCAGCGAACTAATCCATTCAGTTTGAGGACCCCAGTAGGGAGGTCATGGCCTGTATCATAAAAAGTACGCTGTAACACGATTTCACGCCAGCGGTAGAAGGAAAACTGCTATATGACGCAGGCCCCAGCGGCTGACAACTGGGTCAAAACAGGCGGAGGCCGGCCAAAGGTCATGCTCGTATCGCTCTCACTTGACCCCGTCCACCGCCCCAGGCGGATACCGGTGCCTCTTGGGCTCACCAGCCAGGCGCTCATTGGTGTGCCTTAGTGGGCGCCAATCACTCAGTGTGCGTGACGCGTAAAATCACAACGAAGCGAAGTTCCGCCATAACCCTTACTGTGATGAGGCCTTCTGAGTTCTGAATGACGTTAACAGGTCATGCGGGGGGGGAGGGAGCCTAGCATCAAATAAGCTTTTTAAAAAGAACATGGCTGAACAGCATTATTTTTTCTTTTGTCGCCGTTCGCTAACAGGCTCATTAAAAAGAGAGAACTTCAAATATAGGACTAAATGGCTAGACAGCGAATTGGCGAACTGGCTAGAGAGATAATTCTTGTTTTTGAATCCGCTTACGAGTGCATGTGCAAGCACGGATGCATTCTGTTAGCGGGTGCAACTGATGATTTTTTAGGTATATGGGCACGAGTTTCCGGATTTTACCCCCCCCCCCCCAAAAAAAAATGTGACAGTCGTGCCGATGACGAGTCAAATTGCTAACTTTGCAATGAAACAAATCTCAACAAATCCTCTGCGAGTAGGAGGGTGGCCTCCGTTGACCACATGCTTAGCTGCCATCACAAGTTACCGGATGGCGACTGCTACCTCCCCCTATCCCTCCGCAGTCCGCAACCACTCCCCTCGGCCCGCTGCGCCGGCTGCCTCCGCGTGTCAGGCTTCGGCCAGTGCTACCAGCGGCTCTCAAACCTTTCCGCTCAACCGCGGCTGGGACAGGTGGCGCCTTCCCTCGGAGTTGCGATACTTTCAAGAGAGACTATACATTTCCATGTGTCACGGTTGGGGTGTTGCTGCACGTGCGCACGTGCAGGGGTCGCTTCCAGATCTCGATAACAACTGGACCGATGGCGTTAAACTTTGGTATACCTACGGCTAGGGAGCGGCGAGTAGGGTGACGGGCTAAAGTCAGTTGGAACTGAGTTTGCACGTGCGTACGTGTAGTGTGCCGCTTATACATATCAAAAATGGCGAGGCGAATTACACTTAAATTTGGTGTAGGTACAGTCCACAGCAGAAGTAATGTGGGGTTTCAGGCATGGGTATGTTCTGCTTCTGAAGCTTAGGAACGATTAGCCGGACTACAATGAAACTTTGAATGTAGCTTATATGTATCGTCACCCTTGCAGCTGCAACTTTAGCTATTGACATCTTCTTTTCGATCACTCCGCATTAAACAATCGCCAGTCAAAGCCAACCGTTGAGATTGGTAAAACCCTACATTACTTTAGTGGTGGGCTGTACCGTTAGTGACCGGACGGGCCCCCACAAGTCAGCAGGTGGTAACGCACTTAACAACTTTCGCACGTGCAGGGCTCACCCGCGCTTGTTCGTCGCCCCCAAAGGCGTCTCAAATGCATGTAATAGTGTCTTTACTCATGCTACCAGCATTCAAACTCAGACCATACGATCCCCGTACCAGCACTCCCTGTTTGGCCGCCAGCGTTTGCGCCACCCCCAAACAGGTATCGGGGGGGGGGGCGGAGGTCATGACCCTGCGGTCTAAGAGACAGGCGTGGCCCCGGGCCGACCTGGGCAACCACCTCATGGTGATCGTCTTTTTGTCAGGGATTGGTCAGAACCGACCGACCTGACCCGCCGCGCTGGCACAGCCCGTGGGGTGGCAGGTGGCGGCTTATGGCGTGCCGCAGTGTCGTATTATATGATGTCAGATGACAGCATAATGATTAAACTAATGCTTTGTGACAATTGAGGTAGTGCCATACGACACTGTATGATTTGTCGGTCACACATTTGAACCTCCAAGCACCATCTAACGGTCAGTTTCCTGTGTCTATGCTTACCACATGCTTTTCAAAGTACTTTAACTGATGAAGGTATGCCTAATACCTAATGAACATTGATAAGTTGTTAACATTTTACATTAGCATCCCTCTCATCCTCTCTTCTCGCGTCCCTGAAATCGCCCCAAGGGACAGCTGATCGGTCGAGACGTCGCTCAAAGCCAACCCGCCGGCCGGACCTCCCGGGTCAACTTGCGCGCACGGGCGGCCAGCCGAATTCTGAGTGTGGAAAAATCGGTTAATGCTTTCAGATTAACCGTGCGTCTCTCTCTCTCTCTCTCTCTCTCTCTCTCTCTCTCTCTCTCTCTCTCTCTCTCTCTCTCTCTCTCTCTCTCTCTCTCTCTCTCTCTCTCTCTCTCTCTCTCTCTCTCTCTCTCTCTCCTCTCTCTCTCTCTCTCTCTCTCTCTCTCTCTCTCTCTCTCTCTCTCTCTCTCTCTCTCTCTCTCTCTCTCTCTCTCTCTCTCTCTCTCTCTCTCTCTCTCTCTCCTCAGAAACGTGTTCTCGATCTACGAGAGCCTGCCGGACCCATCGCTCTCTCGTATGAACACGGTGGTTTCCGGCGCCATCAACCTCTGTAGCTCCGTCTACATCCTGGTCGGCTTCTTCGGCTACGTGGCCTTCCACGATGTCAGCTTCGGAGGTCAGTACTGTGACGGATGACGTCACTAGATGGGATGACGTCATTTGGAGGAGTGACTTTTTGCGGGATGGATGGTCGGTCATTGTGAGGTTCCTTGCAGTTTGCTGTACCTAAGTTGGGTTTAGCTGTTTTAAAATGATATGTGTGGGTGTCCACTGTCCAATACGATGTTGTGCTGTTTCTACGCTCTCAATCGGGAAAGGCTGGTATCTAAATGACCAAGGAAAACTGAATGGATGCAGACTTAGGGTTTATGAACAGCGAACATCCCCTCCCCCCATGTAATCAGCGTTTTATCTGCCTCACCAATCGTCAACGTTTTGAGTATAGGAGTCACGTGTTGATACCGCCGAACCCTCAACACAAACCTCAACAATCATATACCACTACTATGTCTCGACCTCTAGCCTAGCTTCTTACCCCATTCTGTTTGATGACAACCTCTTCTCTTCCTTCGCCAGCGCAGGCATCTAAACAGCAGCAAAAAAGGCTTGCGAAAGAAATTCGTTTATTGCTTGCATAAATACTAAATAAATAGCAGAAAAATTAGATAAATACAGCGACACTTTCATTGCGATATACTGGTCATTTTTAGGCGGCAATACGACTCGACCCGATAGTCAGATAGTCAGCCGGTTCCCTCCTGCACATTTGGCCGCGACGGACGACTTTACTGCCATCTAGCGGCCGTAGCGGGTACCATGACCGCGATGGCTACGGAAGGGACGGCCATGGTGGCTGGGACGGCGGTGGGAGATAGAGGGACGGCGGTGTGAGAAAGAGGGGCGGCGATGGCCGTAACTCGGGCTAGAAACGACATGAAACGAGCTGTGTCCGGCGCCATGGCCAGAGAAGCCGTGACCTTTGCTGGAAGAGACATGGGAAGAGGAGCTGTGACCATAACTGCGAGAGGCATGGGAAGAACCGTGGCCATGGGAAACAATGTGTCCGGAAGATACAAGGAAAGAGCCCTTGCCATAGCCAGAGCCGAAGGATCCGTGGGAGGAACCGTGTCCATGGGAGGAAGAACCATGGGAAGAACCGTGTCCATGGGAGGAACCATGGCCGTGGCTGGAAGAGCCATGCGAGGAAACGTGGCCACCATAGGAACCAGACGAAATGTGTCCTACGTTAGATACATGGGAAGACCCATGTCCTTTGGTGAATCCAAAGCCGCCATGCGAAGATCCATGTCCTTTGGTAAAGCTCGAGATGCTATGGGAAGATCCGTGTCCCTTGCTGAATCCAGAAGATCCATGGATAATGCCGTGTCCAGAGCTGAATCCAGATCCATGTCCAAAGCCATGTCCAGATCCATGTCCAAAGCTGTGTCCACCGTGGTCGCCGTTGGCTAGTGCCAAACTTGCGATGAAACAAGCCAACTGAAAGGGAAAAGAAAAACAAACGTTATGTTTCCCAATTGTCGTTTGCTACTGCGATTTCGATGTAAGTGGCTAGTTCTCTGTAACAAAGATTGTATTGCATGGCAAGTACAACGTTACTGATATGAAAAACGTACTTTTATCGCGCATCATTTACATTATCTAGGCATTTACACGTATCTTTTTGTAGTTCCACCAAGCGTGTTTAGCCCTTCTCCGTATATCCCCACCGACTCACCAGTACGATCCTCATGTTGTCTTGGCTGTTCAGAGCTCCTGTTGTGGGTGTACCGCAGCTGAGCTGAGAATGTGTGCCAGCTGCTGGCTGGTGGCCCATTTTATCCTCAGAGGACCGTGCGGTGTCCTCCAGAGGACTCATGGGCCGCTGAGGAGGGGGATCACTGGAGCTCAACCAAACAGGACTGGGATGGTGATTTACAGGGGGTCACGGGGGAATTAGAGGGACGGGGATGTTTTGTCAACTGAAGGTCAGGTTCACGTGTGAAGCTTCGACGGTTATATGACCTAGCCACTGTGAAATGGAACATTTTACGAAGGTCAGCTCGACTCTAGTTGTAACTGTTGGCGTTGAAGATCGCGCGGGGCGGGTACTGCTGTACTGACCCTGTTTTCAGTGCACGGGCCTGATAAAGTCGGGAAATTCCGTCGGAACTTCAGTGCACGGGCTGGATAAAGTCGGGAAATTCCGTCGGAACTGTGACTCGGAGCGGTGGTAGGGGAGGGGAGGAGAGGGGAGGGTTTGGAGGACATGGCTGACCTTTGGTATGCTTCACTGAACCGCCCCGACGACTGAGCGCAGTAGTACTGCGTCGCTTCTCATGTCACGTATCTGCCTCTTGTGGGTCCCTTTAACGGAGTATTTGACGTCAAAGTACACACCACGTCTTAGCGTTATCGTTATTGACCCTCCTCTACTTCTCTTTAGCTTCTTTTTCTGGTACGGCTAAGACGTAGCACATGTCTCATAAATCGAAGACGCCAGGGGGGGTCGGATGGGGGGGGGGGGTCGCGACCCCCCACTCTTGGAAACCGGGGGCATCGACCCCCCACTTTTGCGATGCAGTATGCTTGAGTTATTATGCCAGTGAAGTTAGCGTCAGCAACATCAACAAATACAACGTGAGATTCAGCATCGCTTCAAGAGCCCCCCATAGCCAATAGCCAATAGCGCAATAGGTCAATAAACTGTGAGCAGGGAACACCACCGTGACAGTACATACACCTTTTTGCGTTACACCTTTTTACCGATTTTGCAAGATGGATTTGCTCCATCATAGCATTTCGGCATCATTTAGAATTGTAAATATAGGATTAAGTGCTAGCTAAAGCCATATATAGTATGTACGCTCATTTTTTACATAAAGTGAATAGTATCCGAGAAAAACGCACCTTAAATCGTCAAATCGATTTAGATGTAGCATGGAAACGTGAATCTGTGCACATGTTTTTGGTATGAACATTGAACGACCTATATAGGTAGGTATTATGTAGGACGTATAGTATAGCTGACGCCGTTGTTTCCCCACATGCCGCAGGTAACATCCTGGTGCACCTGGTGCCATCTCCAGTGACGCGGTGGATCAACATCGGCTTCGTCATGTCCATCGCGCTCGGCTTCCCGCTTGTCGTCTACCCGTGCCGGGTGTCGGTCAACTCTCTCCTTTTCAGACGGGTTCGTGTAGCGAAGTTGGCACCAGTCCTGTCCTTTGACCCCCGGTTGTCGATCTGCCTATCCCGACCTCACCGCTTTATTTCCTTATATGGTCCTGTAGCGGCCATTGGCCCGCGTGCTATGACGTCCACGTGTGATGTGTGACACTGAGTGCCGGCCGAGTCAGGGGGCGGCCGCAGCCCCTGGAGTCTCAGGCGTTTGTTGGAGACGGACACACTGGAACTACATCTGAACTAACCCCGTTTCTGGCTGTGATGTACCGCAATAAGGAGCCAAAAGAAGCATTTTTTTATTAAAGAGCACAATGCGAGAATTTAGATTACCTAATCACGGGTTAAAGGTTACAGTTACTGCTACAATTTATCATTTCTCTTGTTCATGTATTCATATTTCATTGACCCATTATTTTTTATGCATTCATTTGTTCATTACGGAGCGAGCGAAGCGAGCGTAGTCTTTCCTTAGATTAACAGAAATTTCTGAGTATGAGCGGCCGGCCGGCCGGCCGGCCGGCCGGCCGGCCGGCCGTGCGGACGCTTTTGCGAGGCTTATATCTCAGCAACCACTTGACCGATTTACACGCGGTAAATTTTGTAGGGTAGCTTCATTCCTTCTACCAAGTATTGGACTATTCCCGATGCATGTGGATGACCCCTTATGCACGTGCCACGTGCAAAACGAAGAGGTGTCAGTTTTGTAATTGTTGCAATATCTCGGTAACTACTTGGCCGATTGCGCTGAAAGTTGGCATGTAGATAGGCACCCACTAGGCACTGCATATCCATGTGCCAGAGTTGGGGTGCTGCTGCACGTGCGCACGTGCAGGGGTCGTTTCCAGATCTCGAGAACGGCTGGACCGATGGCGCTCAAATTTGGTACACGATTAGGGACCAGTTAGTAGGGTGCCGTGCACAAGTCAGTTGGGACCCATTTTGCACGTGCGCACGTGCAGGGTGCCACTTCCAGATCTCGAGAACGGCTGGGCCGATTGTGCTCAAATTTGGCACATCGCTAGAAACCGGTCAGTAGGGTGCCGTGCACAAGTCAGTTGGAGGTACCCCCTCGAAATTTCGCACGTGCAAGACTCACCCCCTCGCTCGCTCCGTTAGTCGCCCCAAAAGGCGTTATACTGGTTCATTATTTAAATCGTTCATACATTCGTTCATTCATAATATTCATTCCTTCATAGTTTTATTTATGCGCTCCTATTCATTACATGGCTACTTATATAAATTCGATGAAACGATGAAATAAATTTGTCTGAGATATATGAAAAAAATGCGCCTCCCATGCTAGTATATGTTGTGTTGAGCATCGACCGCCAATGGTAACTCGCACCTTTATTTTGCTAATGTGTCTGGCGTTTTGGAAACAACTCACTCTCTCATGCCCAACTTTAATTCATTATGAGTGTCTCTGCACATATTGCATACCTATACCATAACACACCGTACTCAGTAGTCAACACATGATTCTTATACATACAGTGCTTCCCATTAAGGGGTAAGAATTCTACCCCCCCCCCCCCCAGCCGAACACTGCTTGGCGCAGCCTTCGCGGGCTGGGAGGTGTCGGTTGGAACTTGGACCCCCTGCCGTGTTCATTGTTTATCTCAATGCAAACAGAAACAATGCAGGGGGGTGAGGTGTCACCATGTGTGTCTCGGTGGTAATGGGTCAGCTCCCCCCCCTCCTCCCCTCTCCTCCCCCACGGCTGTTTACCTTGGCCGCCATCTGGATTGATGTGGACCGAGCTTGTCAATAGTGGTGTTCCTTGGTGGAAGGAGGGGAGGGAGGTAGTGAAACGGAGCGAGACCTGTCTGTTCTGACCCCCCTCTCTCTCTCCCCCCGTCTCTCTCTCTCTCTCTCTCTCTCCCCTCTCTCTCTCTCTCTCTCTCTCTCTCTCTCTCCTTGTTTTTCTTTCCTTATCTGTTTCTTACTCCTAAGTCCTACTCTCTCTCTCTCTGCCCCCTCTCTCTCTCTTCTTGTTTTTCTTTCTTTATCTGTTTCTTACTCCTAAGTCCTAACCTTTTCCCCTCCTTACTCTGCTTCTCTCCTCTGACCTCTCTCGATTAGCCCCTTTCGCTCTCCTCGTTACAGTCAGTCCGTTCAACTCCCATCCGGTTTCACTTTAGCTGGTCAGTCATCAGTCATTTACCTCCATGTGTCTTTTGTCTACTTGTTTTCCCTTTGTTAGCTTAATTTTGACAACCGAAACGAGTGAACTTCTGGATGTTTAAACTAACCCCATAACCTTTAAAATAACTCTGACCAGACACTTTTCTGTAATTCTCTTCTCTCTCTATTTTTATGCCTCTCTCGGTATTTAGTTACTTATGCATTTTAATTAGTGACCTTACCCTCGTAGTGTTTAAGAATTAAATCCAAACACTTGTTGGATTTATGTGTTTGGATAATGGATTTAACTTAAAAAACTACGAGGGTAAGGTCACTAATTAAAATGCTCTAATATGATCCTCGCGCAAGCACTGAGAAACTTAAAGGATGTAGCTCTGACTGATTCTGTGTCCGATTCCAGCCGGGATCCAGTCTGGAGCTGCCCCAGAACCACATCCCGGAACTACGCTTCAAATGTATCACCTTCTGCATCCTATCCAGCGCCATGTGCATCGGCATCGTAATACCCAGCATCGGTACGTAACTGGCATCGTAATACCCAGCATCGGTACGTAACTGGCATCGTAATACCCAGCATCGGTACGTAACTGGCATCGTAATACCCAGCATCGGTACGTAACTGGCATCGTAATACCCAGCATTGGTCCGTAACTGGCATCGTCATACCCAGCATCGGTTCGTAACTGGCATCGTAATACCCAGCATCGGTACGTAACTGGCATCGTAATACCCAGCAATGGTCCGTAACTGGCATCGTAATACCCAGCATTGGTCGGTAACTGGCATCGATACGTAGCATGCATCGTAATACCCAGCATCGGTACGTAACCGGCGTTGTAATGCCAATATTTATGCATGAATTGATACACATATCCACATCATAAGAATTGGTGGTTCTCAGTCAACCGGCATCAGTGTTCAAAATTCGTCCGTGGCCTGCGTGCAGAAACGATACTGGATTGTTAATACTATCGGGCTGTTTAATCGTGTTTTCGTCTTGGTTACCGGTCATGGTCCTTTGTCATGAGCCAGTAGTTTTTTTATACGTCTGACACCGTGTTGCTTTTTTAGAGGTTTCCACTTATCTGCTAGAATCGGCCAGATGTTTAAATGACCACGTGATCCGCTACCAGAGGTTATTTTGTGTCTGATGTGGCCCAGCTGTTGCATGACCCCTGTGATCTGTTTTGACTTTCCAGAGGTCGTCCTAGGCCTGCTGGGATCTACAATGGGCACGGCGATCGCCATTTTGTTCCCTTCCGTCATGTTTATCAAGAACAACTCGCGCAACAATCTAGAGAAAATGGCTGCGCAGGTAAGACGAAGACGTTTGTACTTGGAGGCTCCAGACTGTCTCAGTCAGATTGTCAGACTCCAGCCAGACTGTATGGTAGGCTATAAAGTTGCGACCGGCAGCCACTTTAGTCCAGGTAAAATGAACACTATGTCAGTTATAAAACTAAGAGATTGTCATTGGGCTCAGCCGCTAGCTGCCAACGTTTCAGCTGTTGGTGCCTCAGATATCTATAGTGGACAGTAAAAACTGGTCAGGTCGGTCAACCCGCACCCAGCCACCTGGCCCGCCCGTACACAGGTCATCAGGCGCGGCCGTGACAGGTGCCGAGTGATATTAGTGTTGTTACCATTTTTTTAAAGGTGATGCTGAACTTTTCTGGACTTGATGATCTTTCATTGTTCTTCATTCAAGGGTTTCAGAACTGTAGATACGGATTTTGGGACATCAACATGGTGGATGTTTACCTACTGCTTGACGTGTCACTACATCAGCTACATTTCCATTCCAACCTATTGAACGTAATTTATTTACAGATACGTTGCAAATGCACTACGCCATTAGTTAATGATATCCATTTTTAACAAGTTGGCTTGATCTCAGGCAGCTTTTGCAAAATTGTCAGGGAACTCAGATTTGTTTTTAATTGAAAACACAATTCTAACGAATAGTGTTTTAACTATTGACAACAAACCGTCGGTTATAAACATACACTAGTATAAATGCACTTCATCAATCAAACGCACCACATCACCCCTCCCCCTCCCTCTTACCCCCAGATGTCATTCATTCTCGGCATCGTGCTACTCGTCTGCGGCACCTACATGAACCTCTACGCGGTGGACAAGCTGGCCCAGGAGCCGGCCGTGATACCAGTGGCCGTGCCGGCAGTGACCGCACCGGCCGTGGTGCCCTCAGCTGGGCCGGTCGCGGTCGGCGGGGGACTCAGCAATGTCACCGATAAAAGAGGTGGGTGGGGGTCTGACGCAATGTGTGCCGCCGCATTTATTCGCTCTGAGTTTTAGGGCTTAGTCGGCACCAACGTCCCCTGTGGAACACCGTCGTCCCCCTGTGTAACACCCACCTGTGTAACACCATCCTCTGTGTAACACCGCCATCTCCTGTGTAACACCCCCGTCCCATGTGTAACGCCGTCCCCTGTGTAACACCGCCGTCCCCTCGTGTAACACCCCCGTCCCCTGTGTAATACCACCGTTCCCCTGTGTAACAACACCGTCCACTGTGTAACACCCCCGTCCCCCTGTGTAATACCACCGTCCCCTGTGTGACACCGCCGTCCCCTGTGTAACACCGCCGTCCCCTGTGTAACACCCCGTCCCAAGCTGTGTACGCCGTGCTGTGACAGTGACCTCTCGACAGTTGAGTGATGGCGGTGGCAGGCGGCGGCGGAAACAGCTCCTTCGAAAACAGCTTGTACTGATGGGACAATTGGTGGGATAAAATGGAATATGACAATGGGATCATATCAGATGAGATAGGCTAATAGTTCCACTGGCTTACCCGTTGGGCGAGCTGTCAGGAATTCGTATTGTGCGGTAGCAAATTATAAGTCATTATTATATATTGTTTATTTATCCAACAGAGTACATTTTTCAAGCATGGACAGCAACTGCGATTCTCTACGCGGTCAGGGCTGTATAAGTGTATACGTACAGAAAGTGGATACATTGTCCCCACCTATAGGAAGGTACTTCGTTCCGGCGATATGAAATAACGTGTTTCCTATATTTCACACTCTCACAACATGTTAGAAACGCTCACGGTACTAGTAGTAATGTTCCGACTCATGACACTGCTATAATTGGCTCTGCTATAGTGTCCGAGCTACTGCCGCACGGTGTTTGTGACACCGACTGTACATCTCTGTGATGACCTCCTTAGTGTGTAGATGAGTTAGGTGGGTCTGATCTTCATCTCTGATTTCTTCAGTGATTGCTCGTCCCTCCATGTCCTCCACCATATTCCAGTGATGTCATCACCACCGTCCCGGTACCGTCCGTTCAGGTTGCTGTACCCGCACCCGTAGTACCACCAGGCCCCCTTATAGACCTGTGCACAGTGACGGAAAGACGAGTCCTGGTCACGGTCGCGGGTAGAGAACTTCTCATTGACGCTCGGGTACAGACCATCCCCGGCAGTTCCCGAGTAGTCGGAGGCGCTCAGTGTGTAGCCGTCCTCCTCAGACGAGATACGGAACTGTTGGTAGGTAGCGTATCTTTGACTGCCGTCAAACGCTTCGAGGTCAATGCGAAGCTCGTACTGGCGGTATGATGTCAGCTGAAATAGGTGTTCAAGGCCCCACCAGAATTCCAGGGTTACGTTACCGAATCCCTCCTTATACTCCTTCCATCCCAGGTAGAAATCCTGGCGGGGCTCGATATTGTCTCTCCGCTGGATCACCGTCCATCTCCCTCCGACAGTTTCCATGTCGCAGTAGGCCTGGACGGGTGGTTGTTGACTGCCATCACTGGGCCGAAGGAGGTAGACTCCAGATGGGGAGTCGACAGGCAGACCGCTGCAATCACGAGGAAGGGAAAGATGGTTAAACTTTGTGGCGAGGTCACCAATACGCTCCTGTTGGGATGATATGTTGTTTATAGCTTCGGTCAGCTTGTATCCTAGAACGTCAACCTGGGAGGTCAGGTTATCCAGGTTATCCACTCTGATGGAAAGCTCACTCTGAGTCGTTTTTTGTTCGTTTAGCTGGACGTTGAGCTCGTTCAGTTGAGATTCCTGGCTGTCGAGCCTTCTAGCCAGTTGAGACGTCTGTGCGAGTTGATCTCCTTGCTGTGTCACGATGCTATCCAGTTGACCTGTGAGGTTGTTGACTGCGGCTGCAGTCTCCACCTGTTGCGACTTTTGTTCGTTGAGCTGGTTGTTGAGCTCGCTCAGTTGAGATAGCTGACTGTCGAGCCTTGAAGCCAGTTGTGTTAGTTGGTTACCTTGCTGTGTCACGATGCTATCCAGTTGCGCTGTAAGGTTGTTCACTGCGGCTGCAGTCTCCTCTTGTTGTGACTTTTGTTCGTTCAGTTGTGATTCCTGGCTGTCGAGCCTTGTAGCCAGTTGAGACGTCTGTGCGAGTTGATCTCCTTGTTGTTTAACAATGCCACCCAACTGCGCTGTGACGTTATTCACTGTGGCTGCGGTCTCATCTTGCTGTGATTTTTGTTCGCTCAGCCGGGTGTTAAGCTCGCTCAGTAGTGATTGTTGGCTATCGAGTCTCGCAGTGATTCCAGTCAGTTGAGTGGACAGCTCATCCATCTGCTCACTCTGTCTGCTCCTCAAAATATTGGTGGTAAGTTCCGTCACTCGAGAGTCGAGCAGAGTCATTCTGTTGTCCAGCGACTCCATCCGAGACTCGTGCCTTCTGACCGTTTTGTCCAGTGACTCCACTTGTGACTCAAGTTTACTGACGACTGGCCATAGCTCTTGCTGAACTGCTCTTGCGATGATGGTGAACACCTCGTCAGCAAGAGCGCTGGGCAGGGCGGCCGGCTGCTGCTGCTGCGCCGCAGTCCATCCGGCCAGGGCGGTCCAGACGACAAGTATCACCCCGATCACCGTGCTAGCCATGTTGGCTAGGAGAGGACGTACCTCCGTCGCCGGCTGCCGACCTCGGACTGACGGCTCCGAGCTGGCAGGACATCTGCAGAGCTCGGTGCGGCTGACCTCTATCAGAGGCGCCACATCCGGTCAGGCGGCCCGGTCCCGTGACCGACAGACCGAGCGATAAATATTTGCAGTGGCCTCGGAGCACTCCGTTGCATTACTGCCCCACCCGGTGGTCTCATCCATCAACCCAGTTGATTTATACACTATAGACTCTGAAGACTTCAGGAGCGAATCATATGCGTGTTTTCGTGTGATGGTGTGGACTCAGTGTTGGAAATAAGTCGGGTCCCAGTCGGGACCAAAATATTTTGTTCTCCTATACAATATACATAGTTATACTTACCTATTCTGGGCATGGTTAGGTTTCGATCACCAGCCCAACTGTTTGTCAGTGTGTATAAAACAAATCAAATCAAAAGTTGATCATATTGGTTAAGGATTATCTGGGTGGTTAAGTAATTTTGTAACTAAAACATTTTATGATAAAAACGTATGAATCGTATGTATAAATGTCTGACCTTGTCTCGTATCATATGAGTCTTTTATCGTTAGCCACGAGTATGAGCTCTTGTTTGTTTCTGAGACCGTCTCCATTATATTTCAGACATCATACCGGACAACCCCCCGGGAGACAAGCAACGGGAAGAGGAGAAGGCGGCGGACGCGCCGCAGGAAGAGGCGAGGAAGGAGCCGGCGATACCCGAGCCGCCGATGGAAGACCAAAAACCGGCTGTCGACGTCGCTGAGAAACCCGACAAAGACACCGACGCAAAACGTGACGGCGATGACGAAAAACCTGCCTCTAAAAAACGCAAGGCGAGTGACGAGAAGGCCGCTGATGGCGAGGCCGAAGCTATTAATTCAGCTGATGACGGTGCTGGCAAAAAGAAGTCCGGCAACCGCAGCAAACATCGCGGTTCAAAGAAGACAGCCGGCGCGGATGAGGGTGGAAATGAAGTTGAAGATGATGTTGAAGCCGATGTTGTCGCTGGCGATTCTAAAAAGCGTTCTGCGGACGCTGTCGGCGGCGGGGAGGGCCTGGACGTAGGCGCTCTTCAGAAAGAGGAAGAGGAACGCGAGCGTGACGACGCGCTACGTCCCGAGGACCCGCAGGCGAAGAAGCTGGAGTTGAAGCAGGAGGCGGTGCTACAGAAGCTGGAGGAGACGCACAAGGAGCAGAAGGAGCTGCTGCAGGCTCAGAAGGCGCTGCTGGATGAGATGAAGCAGCAGAGGTCGGAGCAGGCGGCGGCAGGCGGACAGCAGCAGGCTCAGCCGGCTCAGCAGGTGGCGCGGCAGCCGTATGCCGCCCAACAGTCGCCCGATCAGGGACAGCCAAATGTCCCGGGGCAGCAAATACCAGCAGCAGCACAGGCCGTAGCGGGACAAGGGCCAGGAGTTCAGTCTATGGGAGGACAAGTACCAGCCCAGGCCGTACCGGGACAAATGCCTGCGGGTCAGCCTTTAACAGGACAACTGCCTCCGGGCCAAGTTATGACGGGACAAGTGCAAGGGCAGGGTTTGCAGGGCCAGCTGGCCCCGGGTCAGGCTGCCGGAGTACAGGTGCGTGCAGGACAGGTAACGGCAGGACAGATGCCTGCAGGTCAAGCGTACGGAGCTGTGGGGCAGCAGCAGGTACCGGTCGCTCCCCAGCCTGCCGCCCCGCAGCAGCAGCAGTATGTGCTCAACCAGCCACAGGTGAACCAGGTGCCAAATATGCAACAAGGCCAACAAGCGCTGTACCAGCAGCAGGGGCAGGCTCAGCAGCCAGGCCAACTGCTACAAGCACAACAGGTTCAGTCAGCACAGCAGGCTCAGCAGCAGCCTCCACAGCAGCTCCAATATCAACAGCAACCTCAGCAGCAGTATCAACAGCCACAGCAAATCCAGCAGTCGCAGCAAGCCCAGCAGCAGCAGCAGTTTCAGCAGGCGTCTCTGAACCAGCCGGCGCCGGCTGCGGTAGAGCTGCCCTCTGTACAGAAGCCGGCAGCGGTCCCGGCGGCAGCGGACCGGGTAGCCAGCAGGAGGGAAAAGGCAGCACAGGTGTCAGTGGACGGCGCAAAGAAGAAACGGAAACAGGTTAGTGGAATGGCGTTGACGTCAGTTTAGTAGCACGACTCCAATAGAATGGCTTATAGCTACTCTGGTTTATAGTAAATTCTATCAATGTAAACTTGTATGATTATCTTTGTTGCTAAGCATATTCGTTTTTCCTATTGGCCTTTTTGTGGAGCTATGTCTTATGGAGACAACAGCAGACCTTTTTGATGTTAGGACAAGGGATTGAGGAGACACTGAACTCGGATACCTACCTAGTACCTACTGTCCCAATCGCGTGCTTCACTGCTCCCTTTATTCTCCGCTACCGACTCCTCTGACGGCAACTGCCGAAACTGAAGCTTCTCATTCCACCCGACAGGTGGCGCACGATCGTATGCGCCGGGACGCAGGCGTGTCAGCGATAAAAGACGAGATGTTGGTGGGCCTGCCGGAGAACTGGGCGGCCATGGAGGCAGTTGGAGTTGGCGCGTCATCACACAAACGGCGCTAGAGGGCAGGAGAATAGTGAGGAAGAGAGAGGGTGGGACTGAGCAAGGTTTGAAGATATGGAGAACTTGGAGTGAGGTGAACGGGACGTGTTTTGTGTTAAACCGTGAAGGCGAGGGTTGATATTCGTTCCTATGACATATCTACGAGCTACTCGACTTGATGGTGGTTTGTGATAACTGAGGTTCGCATTCTGCGTATTGTGTTGTTTTGTTCTGACTTGTACATTTCCGAGCTGTGGGTGGAGAATGTGTGTAGAATGTCATAGCCAAACTTGTTACAAAAGCTCCACTCAAAGGTCAAAGGAAATGACATAACGTTGCCGTATAGTCGAAAAGAATTCCTACATGTAATGAGTTGGGAAGCGTTTTTCTCTGAGGCAAAGAGGGGCATGACTGGAGGAAGGGTAGTGAGTTTTATCGAGAAAAAGCGCGGGGCCAATGAACAGTGGCACTTTTGTATTGAGTAGGAATGCCAATGGCTGAAAGTTATTGGAGTTCGTGGTAAATGCTGTATATTTATTCCGGCTGGCGACCGGGTATTGTCAGAGAAACTAGGCATTGTATGCTGCAGCCGGAGCGTTTTAGGCACTGTTACGTCAGAAATAGTCATCAGAATAGGCAGCTTTTAGGGAGGCATCGTATAATAGCCTTGTAAGATGTGCTGTCGAGTTCCGTGTCGATATTTACTTGAATAATGTGAGCAGCGGCGCACTAAGTCAATACAGACGAAGGTCGGAACTTTTGAGGTCTGTAAGCACAAGAAACACAAGAAATCATCACTTATTTTCACAGCTGTGTCAGTAATATACGCAGAGTCTGCATTGAGCTTAGATATCGTCTTTTTGAGAAACACGCTCCGAAACGAACTATAATTCGTTTTGCCGATAGGACGGTGAAGTATGACGAAACAATGCCCATGATTGACGACAGAATAGAAGCACGAGCGTAATAAATGATTGCATTGATGAATGATTTACTTGTTCTAGCCTCTTGCCCAGCAATCTAAATTTGTAATTCGACATCGAATGGGATTTTCGTTGACGAGATGGCGGCTTCCACCGTACCAGTATATTGTGTGTTCATCTGAACTTGACGTCTGTGCCACGAAACGAGCCGAGCATCGTTATTTGGCTGTTTGCCGTGGGAGTGAGGGGCAATTGCTGCTGAAATGAGTAAGAGATGCGTGTGTTTGTCGAATTGGAAATCACTGTGTGTATTTGAATGTCACTGTAAATCAGCGCAATGAATGCTGTGTAAATTGCATACGATGGGTGTGATACATATCTTGTGTAAGCTTTTACCGTTTTGTTTGTTAATTTGGAGGCAGTTTGACTTTGTGAATGTTTTTAAACGAATAGCCAAGACCTCGTATCACGGACAGCTCCATGGTACCTGCACTGGCGAGCTGAGCATGTACCAGTTGCCAAGGCCGGCAACTTCCGCTGCTGTTCACGCGCTGGAAATGTGGATTTGTGCTATCAGCTGCTGAAGATTGATTCCTACCGACGTAATGCGGTACCCTCGTGGGCTAGTTTTGTGTGATTTGATATGGTGTTGATTTGAACTACTCTGGCCGGTACATTCCTGGCAAGTTGTACAATGCACATTTGAAAAATATATGTACATACATGTAAAAGTGTGTGTTTTTTGCGCCCTGAGCATTGTGGGCAAGCCGGACACGGGTGATGGTCGACTCAGCATGGGCGGCGCAGTGGTCCGTGTCTCGACCATGTCCATTGGTCATCAGAAATGTCGTACCTAATGGAGCGCTGTTTAGCGACTCAAATTGGTGTATGATGTGGTCGTAATTTTAGGAATAATTCTAGCGAACTTCCTGATGAACGGAAGTGTGTGATATATTACATCTCAAAGTCACCTCAAACACATGCCAACATTGACGCCTGACGGACCATGACTGACCGGAGGACTGTTCACGGGCCCTCAGTGTGCGGTGGGACCCTTCACCTTACACAGGCTCCAAGCTCTGCCCGCTGCGTCTTTACTCTAGGCCTACGTCATCCTTCCGTCACCGCACACAGCTACATTGGCCGGTCCCGACCGACCAGGCAGCGGTCCGGCTGTGTGCGGTGAGTCGAAATTGCATATCACACAAATATATTCACCACACCCGTCTCTTCGGCGACACACTCAGACATTTACATAGAACGACGTAAAGCGCAACATACTGACACACCACATCCACCCTCACCACCGGCTGACCGAACTGGGGCCGTCCGGCGTCCAGGAGCTCTTCTGGTCCAGGGGGTTGCTCGGCGGGCTGCGGCTGGCGGGGTCGGTAGGTACTGGCTGACCCCAGTTGCGCGATTATTGTCAGTTTCGTTTTGCCCGATTTTGGAGAGCCGCTTTAATTTAACCCGGCACCGCCTGGGCTATTTCCGTACCCACGACAGCCGGGGGGGGGGGGATCCGACCCCCCCCCCCTGTTATCTCGAGAACCAATGGTCGTATCGAGCCCCGCGAGGTGGCGTTCGACAGGTCTCTACGAGACCTTCCCAAAGCACTCTTAAGATTTTAAGATTGAGGTCAACTTTCGGGTCAAGGTCAGGTCAAAGGTCAAATTCAGGGGTTTTGCATGATTAGGCTTACGGACAGCGGAATCGATAGCTGCTGCTCGAAACTCACCAAAAATGACCTCAAAGGCCTACTGAAGGTACCATGTGCGTATAAGGGTCATACTAAGTACGGGTCAAGGTCACGTCAGGTCACGAAAGGTCACGGTTTTCACTTTCTGCTACATGGGCGTGCGACACATGTTTTATGGCTTATTTTTCACGCCGAATCCGATGTTAATGGTTATATGTAACCCCAAGTCACTGTGCTGGTGATAAGTGTGCAGCAAAAGCATAAAAAATCGTTTATACCATACATAACTAAACGAGGGCCCAGAAAAAGGTCAATTTTTCAACTTTTTATTTTTGACATAAAAATGCACTTTTCTAGACGAGCTTTGTCCCAGGAATCTAGTGGTGCCATTTGTTTTTATATGCGATGTTCAGAAATGCCTCTAATTCACGAAAATGCTTATGACGTCACCATGCCCTATGCATGTTGGAGCTATTTTTTACAATTTGGGGGTCAAAAATCAAGATAGAAAGTTGAAATTTTGGACATCTTATGTTCTTATAGAGCTCTATGACATATATTACGGTTATTTGGAAATTCGAAAAATTTTGGATTTTATCAGGTGTTTTCCAAAAAATATAGTTTTTTGAATTTTTAGGGGTAAAAAACGCATTTTATGGAAAATCCGAGATAGCCATTTTAAAGAACTCGTTGAGCTGCGTCTATTCATGTCCTTAATTTGCAATTTGCTTAAAACCTCGATTTTTGGCGATTTTTTAAACATTTACCATTTTTTTTACTGAAAACGCCATGTAGTTACATCACTAAAATCGATATATCTCAAAAATTTTGGGAAATTTTTTCTTAAAAATTGCACAGAAGACGTCAAATTGATGGGGGAGAAGGTATGCCAAGTTTCAAGTACATAGCGTAAGCGGTTCATGGGTTATTCAAGAAAAACGGAGGGGGGGGGGGTCGGATCCGACCCCCCCCCAGGCGGTCGCGGGTTAAGTTTATCTTTTGCGCCGATCCGCCACTGAACTTTGTTGTTTTGTTTTTATCACTCAATAAAATGAACTGAACTGAACTGAACTGAACCGCACATGCCGCACTCAGCAGTTTGCCTGCGGTGCCCGTGATCGTGAGATCGTGAATACAAATAGCCCTCAGTGTTAGTCCATCGGGTAAAGAAAGAACAGCAAGGAAAAACTCTACCCGAATATGGTAGCATCGACAAACCTTGCGCTCCTGTTTCATTTGTTTCCATGGCAACAGGTGTATAATCAACAGGCTGCGTATGTGACTGAGTTGGTTTGTTTTAATTTATTGTTATTTTCTAGCTAGGCCACATAACAAGGTACCTACAAAAAATACCGCCTGCTTGATTCGTTACACAGCAAGATCATGATTGATATCCTTATCAGCCGTGCTTATCAGCTTCAGGTTGTCATAGCAATAAAGGCGTTTCACTATTCAGCTTTCTTCGATTATTAATATTCATATTGATATTGCTAGGCGCAAAATGACGTTAAAAGTCGGTGTGCCTTAAAGCCCCAATTAACAAACAATCATATTGATATTGACTGCTGTATCAATATCAGTTGGGGAAACTATGAGGAGTCAAACAAAAATTGGATCAGCCAATCAATCAACGGCTGGAGTGGGCGGGGCGATGACCATATATGGTCATAAAATCAGACAACTTCACCTTTTCCATGCATCCTAGCATTCAAATGAAAAAATAAGGCATACAAATGTTTTTTAACCAAACGAGGCCTACACTCACTTGGTGCACAATGCACTGCCCACTGGCAGATCTAAGTGAAATCGCAGAGTTACAATACAAGGTCAAACAGTGATTGGTGTCAGAAAATGTAAGCAGCACCGTGGTTTGAATATGTCATTATTTTTATTATTTTGTTAAATGTTTATGGTTTTCCAATTTTTGCTAAATTATTATTCTGAAATTAAATATCTTAATTTATTCAAATCAAATTAAATCTTTTAACAATTTTCTTGCAAAACACCAATCCATTTAAAGAATGGCCAGCTGATTGTGACGCCCAGAATCTGCAGAAAAGCCGTTTTCCCATCGCCATTTTCGAGTGAATTCGCCGAATTTAATCAAATCGAGTTAATTCCTTGTGGAAAATGGAAGCCTTTTTTCTCCGATAAGCAGACGAGATACCACAAGTACCGGCACATTATACCATTTTTCTTCCGTAGTAGCGAGGGCTGCATTTATGCCCATATATGGTCATCAAAAGTTTTTATTGACCAATCAATTTTTGGATCTTCCCCTCGTAGTTTCCCCAACTGATATTGATATGTGTAGCCGCCACGGCCTCAGCCGTGGGCCAAACCGAGCGCCCTCGTAGTCAAAAACGCTGTGCCGTCAACTGGACCTCTATTCGTCTGCAGCTCTCGAGGCAGTCCGAAACTGTCCGTTACTGCCCGGACACAAACACACAGACAATGCACCGGTCAGTACACAATCACGTCCACAACCGACATGTCCGAACAAAACGACATATTGTGAGCCGTGCATTGAACATTACATGAAATAAATATTGCTGCAATTCTAGAACCAAAATTACTATTAGCGCTATCATTTACTCGATTAATTAACACTTAACAATTCGGGCAACTTCGTACAGTAATTCAGACGCAACGTTTGACATACCGGCTGTTCACGTCTCCGGCGCTCAACAAGTCGATCTCATCACGAAGATCGCTCCGTCCACACGGTCCGTCACGGGGGAACCCACAGCCACAGCTCGGCCGCCAAACATCCCCGGACTCACGAGCAGCCCGACTCCGCGGTGCTCACTCTGCCTAGCGAAAGTAAACACGTACATAAATCAAACTCGAACAAACAACTATATTACGTTAATGAATCGATCAGCATGTTTATAGCAATATCAAGAAAGAACAAAGTATAATTCAAATACAGAATCCACTTACATTTCGCGCAGCTCCAGCTCACACGTCCGCCCCTCAGCACACCGGGCACAAAACAACGCCCTCTACTCGGCCCGCACAAGGGTCACGCTCGGTCACGTGACCGCGGCCAGCTGCCACATCGGCACTCGCCCGACTCAGCTAGAGGTGCAAGTCCGACTCAGCTAGAGCTGCTGACGTGTGGCATCAAAGGAAGGGTGAGGGATTCAATGCGGACCGCGGGCGCCATTAACACTCCCCCCTTCGGACGACCGGAGCAAGGGCGGCCGAACTAACAGAACACGGCGCCCGATCAAAGTCAAATCACCATCAGTGGTTTACGGACTTAACGAGCTAACAGCTGCATCAGTTCAAAACAACATCCTGACGGCCTTACTTATCTAACAACTAGCAAACAATTAACAATTATCCCGTTGGGACACTGCACTTACCCACTAAAACTTAACTACACGAATTCTACATAAGTCACTCACCTGATGTTTGCCTACATATCGTACACTACAGCTGCAGGTCCGTTCAAACCAATACCCACAATGGGACGCGGACACTGCACGTCTACCGCAGATCAGACTCCGTGCTGATCAGGACCATCTTATGGATTGGCCTCAGGTATTCCGACGTAGACGTTTTGACCAGAGCCTTTCGAACCAGCCCGTCCCGGCTGGGAAAAACTTTAACTATCTTTCCCATCCTCCACTTACCTCTAGGTACATCTTGATCTACTAACAAAACAATATCACCCGGTCCCAGGTTCGTGGCAGTACGCGTCCACTTCTGTCGCGTCTGCAGTGATAACAAATACTCCCGCTTCCAGCGGTGCCAGAACTCCTGAGCCAAATACTGTACATGACGCCATCGGCGGCGCGGCAGTGAGTCGGCCTCAGAAAACTCACCAGGAATGGGTCCGACGCAACCCCTCAGGAATAACAGGTGACCCGGCGTCAGGGGTTCCACCTGACCCGAGGCCGTCGACACGTATGTCAACGGGCGACTGTTCATGATCGACTCGATTTCACAGAACAAGGTACTGAGCGTTTCGTCATCCACGCGCTGAGTAGGCATAGATCGCCAGATTTTACGAAACGTCCGGATCTGTCTTTCGACACCACCAGCGTAGTGAGAAGCAGTGGGAGGGTTGAAACTCCAATCGATACCCTGCTTCAGCGCTGCGCGCTGCAGATCACTCTGGCGAACCTCTCTCAGCGCCTCACGGAGTTCGCGATCGGCGCCAGTCAAGTTCGTTCCCATATCACTTCGGATTTGGGTGATCTGGCCTCTTCGAGCACTGATGCGTCGAATGGCATTGATAAGTGAATCAGAACTCAATGAACTCAGAATTTCCACATGAACAGCTCGTGTCATCGTACAGACACACATAAGTCCATACCGTTTTCGCTCAATCCGTCCAGTCTTGACCAACACTGGTCCGAAGACATCCAGCATCACCGACGAGAACGCCGGCGCGTCTGCCGAGACGCGCTCCCGAGGCAGCTCAGCCATCAGTTGATGCTGGGGACGGGCATTTACCCGTCTACACACCACACAAGATCGGATCAACCTCCGGACCTCTGTTCCCGCTCCAATGACCCAAAACTTACGTCTCAGGTCCCAAAAAGTGTGGTCTCTCCCCCCGTGACCAACTCTCTGGTGAGCCTCTCTGATCACCAATCGTGTCACGTGACTATCCCGGGGGAGAATCACCGGGTGTTTCTCACTCTCAGAGACACAATCAGATCGAGACAGCCTACCACCAACCACCAGCAGACCACTCTGCATGGTCGGCCGTAACTTTCTCAGAGGACTACTCGAACTCACTTCAGTTGGACCATCGTCACAGTCTCTACCAGGAAATTCGGGGAGTTCCCGCTGGACGTGCCGCAAGATCGCACGCTCTGCCTCATGCAGGTCGGACACAACCAGAGAGGCCTCACCAACGTGGTCACGCCGCCGAAGCCCCCTTCGGCGGGTCATGCACCACCTGCGAAATGAACCATTCCGGATGACACAGAAGAACCTCCGATACCATGCCACCGCCCGTTTGAGTCTGTCAAAGGACGAAAAATGACTGATTAGAGCGTCCGTTGGACCCTTCTGTCCGGTGCCGGCAGACACCAGAGCCACTGTCACTGGAGCGGACTTCACCTCAATCGGAGGGATCTCAGCGTGAACAGCTGGGTCTGAGGGCCAGCCACCAGCCTCACCATCCAAAAACTCAGGTCCCCTCAGCCACGGTCCCAGACCTGAAGGATAACAGCCACGAGAACCTACATCGGCAGGGTTCAACTTGGATGGCACGTGCGCCCACTCGGCCACCTCTGAACCATCATGTATGTAGGCGAGCCGGTTCGCCACATACGTCTTGAACCGTGTGGTTCGGTTCCGGATGAAGCTCAGGACCACCGTGCTGTCGGTCCACATGTGAAATGAATCAAATGTGGCATCCAACTCTCTCACCAGCAGTCTTCTCACCTTAACTGCCAGCACCGCTGCAGCCAGCTCTAGTCTTGGCACCGACACGAAACGAACGGGATTTACTAGTGCCTTTCCCATAAAAAAAGTCACAAAACGTTCGACCTGTCCCTCAGGGGTAAGAATCTCTCTTCTCAGGTAACCCACGGCGGAGTATGCCGTCTCGCTCGCATCAGCGAAGACATGCAGCTGACTGTTCAACACCTTCCCGGGAGGGCCGACGGTGCACCTCCTCAGCTGAACATTGTCAAGCTCGCTGGCTTGGTCCAGCCATTCTTGCCAGTCCTCCGCCAGCGGACTAGGGAGCGGATCATCCCAGCCACAGGAGAGCAGGCACAGTTTCTGTAGCAGCACTCGGCCCAACAGAGTCACCGGAGAGACAATTCCCAGCGGGTCAAACACCGAGCTGACTGTCGACAGCAGACCGCGCCTTGTCGCAGGTTTCTGCTTGTTGCAGAATTGGAAGCAGAACGAGTCGTCTACGATAGACCACTTCAGGCCTAACGCACGCTCGGTACCCAGAGTGTCCCTGTCCAGGTCTAAAGTCTTCACATTTTTTGCCCTGTCACCGACAGGGATCTCCTTAAGAAACTCAGAACTGTTGCTTGAGAACTTTGTCAAGTTGAACGCTCCGTTTTTGCACAAGTCTTTCAGGTCACGCGCTAGCTGAACTGCGCTTTCGACAGAATTTGTGGAACAAAGGGTATCATCGACATATGTTTTCCGAAGCAGAGCGTCGGCGGCCTCAGGATGCCGCAGCCGACCCTCCTCAGCGCAGCAGGTCAGTGCCAGGCTGGCCACACTGCTGCTGGACAGGGCTCCGAAAACATGAGACCTCATTTTCCACACGACTACCTCACCGTCAGGATTGTCGTCTTTAAACCACAGAAACCTCAGTAGGTCAGAGTCACAGATGGGCACATGGACTCTATGGAACATTGACTGGATGTCGCATGTGAATGCGACCGTTCCTTCACGGAAACGACAAAGTACTCCCAAGAGGGAGTTTGACAGCACCGGTCCCTTCTTCAACAGGTCATTCAAGCAGACCCCACGACTCTTGGCCGCGCAGTCAAACACCACACGCAGTTTACCTTTTTCCGGTTCAAAGACGCCGTGATGAGGGAGATACCAGATCGGATGACCCCCATTATCTCCCTCTGGCACCGGAACTGCGTATCCATCCTCCGCCAGTGAGGAAATGACACGTCTGTACGCGTCAAAGTACTCTGGGTCTGCATTGAAACGCTTCCTCAGCGAGTCCAAACGCTTTGACGCCACCGGCATGCTGTCAGGCAGCGCACCGAAATCCCTCTTAGGGAGAGGAACCTCAAAAAATCCATCATCATCTCTCCTCACTCGGGGCAGAACATCAGCGAGCCACTCGTGATCTTCCACAGAGAAGCACTCACGATCGTCCGACAAATCCTTGAAGTCATTATCATACATCTTCCTGTACAAACTATCCTCAGCGTCATGGTCAGAAACAGACATCTCCTGCACCCTCAGAAAGTTCACCGTGAACCTCTCTCCCGAACCGGTGGCTTCCCGGACCGGTCCCATCACATACCAGCCCAGTACAGTTCGCACAGCACACAGACCAGTCTCGCCCTGGGGAGGAGAACGAACCTCTCTCGCCACAATCAGTTCGGCACAGTTAGAACCGATCAGAACTTCCACCGGTACATCCAGCTCGTGAAGCTCTACACCGTCCAGGTGGGACGCAGCCTTTAGCTCACTTCCCTGACATCGGTCGGCCTGGGTGACCGGAAGCGCGTCAATAGTCAATAGTGGCGGTAGAGAGTGGAACTCACCGCCGTTTAGAGCGCTTACTTCTAACCCTGGAGCTATCGAAGTGGACATGCTCCTCCTATCGTTACCCACGGTCTCGATAGAGATGGTCGTGCGCTCAGTTTGCACTCCCAAACGCTCTGCGAGTCGCTCAGTCAGGAAGCTTCCCGACGACCCTTGATCAAAAAACCCATTCGTCACGATCACTTTGCCTGTTGGAGCACGAAGCCGCACCGCAACTACAGGGAGGGCCGTGCGACCTGCACCCTGCAGTCCAAGGCTTGCACTTACAACAGCGCCTGCGGATCCACCGCGCGATGCAGACCCCGCCGCCGCGGCGGACTGCGCCATCGCCGTACCAACAGGTGTCGCCACCGCCGCACCAGCAGGCGGCGCCACCGGCGCACTCATGGGCGGACCCGCGCCGCCGCGGTACGGAACCACCGCTGTCCCGACTCCGCCGGGCGGAATCATGTCACCTGGCTGCATCCTCTGAGACGTACTACCGCGAGGACTCGGCCGCTGATGCCACTGATCCGGCCGAGAGCCTGAAACCCAAGGTGGTGCCGGTCCCCCGCCCGGTTCGCCATGCATGACAGAGGGATGGAGCCCGCCACAGACGCCGCAGACCAGCGGCCGCCGGCAGGACCGAACCTGGTGCCCCACCTTTAGGCACCCAAAACATAACTTATGCTGCATAAAGACCTTTCGCCGCTCGACCCACGGCCTCATCCTCAGCACCTCACAGTCCGCCACACTGTGGGGACCGCCACAGTAGACGCAGCGCTGATCCCCCGGCGCTGTCACGTGCGCCACATTGACCGTGTGCCTCCGAGGTCCACCAGGAGCCTCCGGCCGGCGGTCAGCATTGGCAGAACGAAGGCCAAAAAGCGGATTCTTCTTGACCCGAACCTCAGCGGCCAAAAACTTAACTAAATCGGAAAACCTGACAGCGCGCCCCTCCTGGCATAGGCGGTCTACTTCTCTAAGCCACCGATCCTGCAGGTGAGGAGGAACTTTAGAAACTATCAGGCGGAGAGTTGATGGATGTTCGAATTCACTCAAAGCTACGCCAGATACGGCGTTCTTTACCTCCGTCAGAAACAGAACAAACTTGTCCAGTGATTCTACATCTCCGGGTAGGATCCGAGACCACCCCTTTACCTTCTCAACGTATGAGTCAACTAAACATATTGTGTTACCGTACCGCGTCTCGAGTAACTGCTTGGCCTCAACGAATCCAGCAGCACCCAGATGAAGACAGCTCCTCACCAGCTGGTTCGGTTTCCCGCTAGTGAACTGTTCCAAATAAAATAAAAGTTCCTCCTGATCATCAGTCTTACTGGCAACACGAGCCTCGAAGGCGCTCATAAATAAACGAAAATCTTCCACGTTACCTGTGAATGGACGTAGCTCCGTGGGAGGGAGCAGAGCACGCCTCACCTGCGAGGACAGTGCACTCGCGGACTCTGACTGCGGAGCCTGACTAGCTGTAGAAACCCTCAGGGGCTCAAGGGCAGCTTCGTCATAGTGACCCACTTCAGCAAGTTGCAACTCTATCTGCAACTGCTCCGATCGAGCCTGAAGTCTCGAATCATCCTGCTCTGCCTTTGCCCTAACTGAAATCCTCTCCTGCTCAACCAGCTGTCTCTCCTGGATAATTCTTAAACGAGCTAAGAGTAGGGAAGCATCAGGAACCGCAGATCCCGACTCGGGTGCCACAAGGGGCATTTGAGGACTTTCCTTCTGCGCTGGAGGGGGCGTCTCTGATTCTATCAGTGCCTCAAACAGCCTATCCACTAACTCGTTCTTCTTACCTGTGATATCAAGTCCCCTAGACTCTAGCTCTCTCTGTAACTCGGTCAGTTTTAGCCTGTTCAAATCTTCCCTGGTAGGTGCCATTGTGAAAGCAGAGGACAAAAAGATGAGGAGAATTACGAACAAGGATCCAGGATTAAGCCACATCAGCTATTCTAAACACCTACTCCGCATAACACAACCTGTGCAATCACAAATAAATAAACACACACCTTAAACACTAATACTACTACTTAAACACTAACGATATTACTAGCGTAGTGCACACACAATACACACCACCCCAGACCCGGCGTCCATCGCTTATCAACAGCCCAACTGCTCACGGCGGAGCTGACCGACCCCTACTCCCTGGCGTCCCGAAACACCGTGAAGCACAATCACCTGTAGCCCCGGGCACCAACCACTGTAGCCTCGGGCTAGTGCTCGCGGCCACCGCGCACAGTCACCAGAGGCGACAGGCCACCCGGCTTCTATCGTCCTCCCGACCTGGCATGATGCCAGAATCACTCACCCACGATCGGAGACCGTCTCACTCGGCCGCGGGCTGGTGTCCTCAACCGCAGCGCAGCAGAGAAGCCGACGGACGCAGACGGGCGTGGCTGATGAAGACTCAGCCGTAACTGTAGCCGCCACGGCCTCAGCCGTGGGCCAAACCGAGCGCCCTCGTAGTCAAAAACGCTGTGCCGTCAACTGGACCTCTATTCGTCTGCAGCTCTCGAGGCAGTCCGAAACTGTCCGTTACTGCCCGGACACAAACACACAGACAATGCACCGGTCAGTACACAATCACGTCCACAACCGACATGTCCGAACAAAACGACATATTGTGAGCCGTGCATTGAACATTACATGAAATAAATATTGCTGCAATTCTAGAACCAAAATTACTATTAGCGCTATCATTTACTCGATTAATTAACACTTAACAATTCGGGCAACTTCGTACAGTAATTCAGACGCAACGTTTGACATACCGGCTGTTCACGTCTCCGGCGCTCAACAAGTCGATCTCATCACGAAGATCGCTCCGTCCACACGGTCCGTCACGGGGGAACCCACAGCCACAGCTCGGCCGCCAAACATCCCCGGACTCACGAGCAGCCCGACTCCGCGGTGCTCACTCTGCCTAGCGAAAGTAAACACGTACATAAATCAAACTCGAACAAACAACTATATTACGTTAATGAATCGATCAGCATGTTTATAGCAATATCAAGAAAGAACAAAGTATAATTCAAATACAGAATCCACTTACATTTCGCGCAGCTCCAGCTCACACGTCCGCCCCTCAGCACACCGGGCACAAAACAACGCCCTCTACTCGGCCCGCACAAGGGTCACGCTCGGTCACGTGACCGCGGCCAGCTGCCACATCGGCACTCGCCCGACTCAGCTAGAGGTGCAAGTCCGACTCAGCTAGAGCTGCTGACGTGTGGCATCAAAGGAAGGGTGAGGGATTCAATGCGGACCGCGGGCGCCATTAACAATATGTATATGGGAATTTTGGATATGGGTCGAATTGCTTGGTGTAGGTACACTTGTTTCTTTATGTACCTACTTTCTTACAGATAAGTCCACTTAACTGAATCACAAATTGTTCATCATTCCCTCTGAACTCACGCAAGCCGACTGCACAGGCCTGAGTTGCGGCCATGTCGCTGCTGTGGGAGGACCGGGAGGTGAGGTTTGACATCGCCCCAGCCCAGATGAAGATGAGGCCTGGCGAGCAGCTCATAGACACCCTGGATTCAGTGGAGGACACCAAAGGTGAAATCCGACAGGGAATATGTCTGTTAAGTGTCAATGTCAATGACGCATGCCTACCTACTTAGTTAAATGTCTCAAAGTAACTTGATAAAACTGTGAATTGTAATGTCGGTTGCAGATGCTGCCTTTCATGCTCACTGGCCTTTAGCTGGGCAGCTCGCCCATTTACAATGGTGCTAAATTCTGCTAATGCCAGATTTTTTAAATGTGAATTATGGATATCTCACCACTCGACATATGACTGCATTCATCCCCTAACCATCTCATTACCAACCCTGTAATTACCAGGTAACAGTGGAGATCGAGGCCGGATGCTTGTGACGAACCTCCGCGTCATTTGGCACTCCCATGCCATGCCCCGGGTCAGCCTCTCTGTCGGCTACAACTGCGTGCTCAACATCACAGTCAAACAGGTTGGTTAGAGGAAAAATGTCTTGTTATTTCTGGGATTGCTGGGATTCAATGTGTTTGTGACATCTGAAAACCTATTCTGCAAATTTTGTAAGCCACTGCACCTTTGAAGCTTCTCACACTGAGTGTATTTCTCTTGAACATTTATGGGCCCATGTTTGGCATTTTGTAACTCATCTGCATTTTATTTGCGTGTGGGTATTATTTTGGATAAAGTTACACAATACCCATCTCTTGTTACTCAGCTCAGCTGTCAAGATTGAGACAAAATCCATTCACAAGTGACATTTTTGCTCAAAGCATTTGCTCCTCGGGACACCCGGCTCCATGTGGGACACGGTACACACCACCAGTATGCATAGGCTCGTATCCTCGTCTACTAACGCCTCAGCCCGCCCCCACAGGTCAACTCCAAGCTGCGCGGTCTGACCGAAGCCCTCTACATCCTCACCAAGGCGGGCAACACCCGCTTCGAGTTCATCTTCACCAACCTGACTCCTGGCAGCCAGCGTCTCTTCACGTCTGTGAATGGTGTGCACAAGGCCTACGCCAGCTCCAGACTCTACCGGTAAACGAACGTGGGCCTCGGAATGCGTGGGAAGGATGGATGCAAAGAGTGAACTAGGTTGGAGGGATAAAACGGGATTTGTCCGAGCTTGATATGCTTTGTTGCTTTGGTTATGATGAATTGAGCGGGACTCTCGCTTATCGTCGTGCAAATTTTAATATACTGACAATCATTGCTATTAGAAGATGTTCTGGTTACTATTAAAGTCATATAAAACATTGCAATTTGCAACCACCAATAGTTTTTATTCCATATATTTGTTTGCTGAGATCTTCGACATATGCTGTTGTAGGAGATGAAAATACATAATAAAAAAATCATTAAATTTTTTTACGTTGTATTACATGATCTTTGTGCTATATGAAGGTTGTGCTATTTGACTACCTATTATAAAATTTCTATTCAATGACCTTCAAACAACATTTTACTTGTTGCATCGGCCCGCTCATTAGCCAAGTATCGTACCTCGAGCGTGCCACCCATTACCGAACCACGTGCATTCGGCAGCGAGCTGAAGCTGCGCGGTGCTGTGGTGTCCAACAAGCAGCTGCGCCTGCTGCCCCAGGAGGAGATCGTGAGCCGGGTGAACGGCGTGTGGAACCTCTCCTCCGACCAGGGCAACCTGGGCACCTTCATCATCACTAATGTGCGGCTCGTCTGGTTCGCCAATATGAACGAACAGGTGAGGACGCTAGTGAAGAGTAAACCACCGAAACTCAGTCTGGTTTCGGTGGTTTGGCCCGGCGTGCGCCCTGTCAGTACCGTTCCTCCAATTCTGGCCCAAGGCAACGCAAGAGCGCTGCGGGTATCTAGTTTTATTGATGGGGGGTCCATCAAAGAACAAGTTTGCCGTGATGGGCAGATTTGGAAACGGCTACATATGTACAGTGAAGAACTTCTAGTTTTTTTTTCTGGGGGGATGGGGAAGGATGAGGGAATGAAAACTCTTGTTTTTCTAGCTGTCTGGCCTTACGTTCACATGGGTTTGACAATGTTGGTTCCGCCTTACCATGCCTTACCTTCAATATATCCATCAGTTTGACACGTTCATTCCATGCTGCCTGCAGTAAAACTCACCGTCGCTCGATCTGCAACTGAATTCTGCTCACTCTGCTTACCCACCTCCCTGTCCACCCAGTTCAACATGTCTCTGCCGTACCTGCAAATGGACTCTGTGCGCACTCGTGACTCCAAGTTCGGGCCGGCACTGGTGGTTGAGTCGACAGAGGCCAGCGGTGGCTATGTGCTTGGATTCCGTATCGACCCCAAGGAAAAACTCACGGAGGTCTACAAGGAACTCTACTCGCTGTTTCAGGTGGGGATGTGTTGCACGTGAGTGGTAAGATCATTGGAGTAGATTATTTGCGCAATGATGGCATCTATAGTTAGCTGGATTTATTTACACAATATGACATTTTCACGATATAGATACTTGCTTCTGATTTTTATTCTAATTCCGATTGATTACTGGTTATCTGTGAATACTGAATATACTGAACGGTTTTAACCCTCGCATGTGTAGGGGGGGGGGGGTCGGATGGACCCCCCCCATGGTTTTTCGCGAATAACTCGCGTAAAAAGCGGCCGATCGCGACGAAACTTTCAGTACCCTCGCATTGATCAATTTTACACCTACCCTGAAAATTTCATGACCCTGACCCAAATGACCTTTGACCTGTGACCTCTTTTCCGAGACCATGTTTGGCCGGAATCGCGATTTCGCGTATGTCGGCTCGCACTAGCCGCGTGTTTGCAAGCTTTTCGTGGTTTCAAACGTTCAAACATGTGATTTGATGTTACTCCCGTGTGTGCCAAGGTCACCTGAAGGTCAGGTCAGGTCATTGACCTTTGGTGACCTCGGGTGACCTCGGGTCACTTTTTCGAGTTTTACATGTTTCTAGGCTAGTTTTTGGAGCTGAATTCGAATTTAGCAACCATTTGAACATTTACGAAGTAGTTTTGGTGACTTCGTAACATGTTACGAAGCTGTCAGAGGCGGTTGACACGTACTACGAATACCCGTCACGACGCCTACTGGTTGACCTGACCTGACCTGACCCGACCTGGTCTAAATGCTTCAAGACATCATCTGTGATCAAAACTAGCACGATATTCGTGATCAGCACCCCGAAAAACCCCTTAGCAGCCACACTTAACGACTTTCTATTAGATCCCGATTTTCCCGACTTTGGGTCATTGACCTGACCTGGAAGGTCAACCAATGACCTAGGACCTTAAAATTGGGTATTATCGGCTTCCTCTCGTCACGGGCAACACGCTCGTTTTTTTCGCGAAGCTCTAGCTCGATCAGGGGCCAAACGGCAAGGGGGGGGGTTCAACCGACCCCCCCCCCCCTACACATTAGAAGCTGGCAAACGCCGCACACATGCGAGGGTTAAAGAAGGGTGGTCCCATCACCCATGGATATTCACATAATATCCATGGATATTTGTGACTTCACCTGTTAGTGGGGGTTACGCGGTTGGTGATCGAATAAATAAATAAATAACTAAATAGATAAATAAATGCACTTAATTTGCAATGGGAGTGCATTCTTCAATACTCCGTAGCCTGACTCTTTGAACTAGTGTGATCTTTAAGTTTAACCTCTCTGCCTTCTTTTGTCACTAGCTTATATCCCTCTCTGTGTCTCATCTTTGCCCCGACAGGTGTTTAGCGAGACGCCCATATTCGGCGTCCAGTACTCCCGGGACGCGACCGACACACAACTGACTGCCGAGGAACTCAGTTCGGACCTGGACAACATAGCAGAGATTGATGATGTGGACCCGCCTGCCGATACGTTCGCGTCCTATTTCGCCGATGGAGATCACGCCCAGGTGGGAGGACGGGGGAGGAGGGAGGGAGGAAGGGGGAGGGAGAGCAGGCCGTCAGGCCGTATCGGAGGAAGCATGGGATGATTAACGGAAAGAGAGAAATTAAGCGTATTGTGTCGAGAAGTCGCGTGTTTCATGTCGGCCTTAATTAAAGATAAATTTAGCAATCGGCATTTGTGAGAAAGTTTTCTTTAAGAAATGTCTGTGATTCATTTTTGTGTCTGTATTAAGAAATTCAGCACGTCTATTTGTCCTATACCCTCCCATAATATGTTAGCTGTTTCTTCCTACATGCATTGGTTACACTGTCATCTGTTCCTTCTCTCAGCCTCTGACATCAGTTGCGGACTGTATGTTGTGCCGAGATGACGCTCTGACGGCCGCCCGTCCTTCCCCCCAGGACCGGGAGCCCGTCTACTGCCCCGAGCTTGGTTTGGCCGTGGAGAGACTCAAGGACGGCTTCACGCTGCAGAGCCTGTGGGAGGTGGTGCCGCAGTAGACGCCGAACGTGACGGAGAAGAGGGTGGCGGAGTTTTTCGAGATCTCAAGTGAATGGGCCCAATCTTACCAAGGTCGTAAATAGGATTTGGCAGCACAGCTGGCCGGAGTTCACGGCACTGATATCAAAGACATCCTTTTTGTTGACATCCAGCTAATCTTGTCCAATGATTTTGTTGGCATGAATGATTTTGAATGTTGCCTGAGCGAATGAATAAGTGAATGGTGGAATAGTTCTGAATGTTACCAAATGCCGTGAATGCGCATTCACGGCATTTGGTAAGATTGGGCCCAGAACAGGACTTCTCAGCTGAAGTCCCTGTCTAGTCATGTTACAAATAAGTTGTCACGTGTATTCGCGAGCGGTGACCAACGGGAGGTTCCGACCGGTGGGCGGAGGCGGACCCGCCCGAAGGGGATAGCAAGGGGCGTCCAGGCACACATGAGTGGGTAGGTGATGTAGAAGCCGTATTTGCCGTATTTACATTAGCCGTATTTGCTAGAAGATGCACTACCACTCCAGGTCACCCACGTGCTGCTCTTGGGACAGTTACGAGGCTCGTTTGCTCAGCAAACCCGAGAATTGAGGGTCTACGAGGGTATAGAAGAAGGCTCTAGCCGCTCAACACAGTCAGTTGATCTCAGTTGCAGTTATGATGTGTAGCCTAACCAAACCAGGTCGGTCCGAACCGAATCCGTCCAGTGTTGACCGTCCATGGAAGGTGACGGTGGTTCTAGTCACCAGACTCACTAGTCGTCCGTCCAGTTAGTAGTCAGGGTGCTGTAATCTCTCCGCCATACACCAGTCGTGTCTTACTTTATGAGACTCGCCGCCTCACACTAAATAAATTGAGCATCTTCCTCCGCCCTCGTTTCGCACACGTATGCGACTTTGTTGAATGCATTACGCATTTTATGCGTATTTATATTTTATTGTCGCGTATAGTATGGTTCTTTCGATACCCTCACGTGTTTCTGTATCGGCGTGTGTGAGTTGGCGCACAAACGGCGGTGTATTGTCGATGGTGCGAAGGGAGTGTTGGTGTTCGTTGTACGGTGTCATGCACTCTGCGAAGTGCATGACACTGCACTTTGCACTAGGTGATATTGTGCACGCGACGTCTAATTGATATTGTGACTTCTGTGTAATGTTTCTTTAGCAATTGTAACCGGGGCTTTGGTTTGACCCACTTACTAGTCAGCGCGACTGTAAACAATTGATGTTGATTGTACGTAATCGGCTTTACTGTTTTGTGTGATAATCTAGAGACTGGCCACTTCGTGTAATCGCTATTGCATCGTTTGCTTTGCACGTACTTACGTTCACAATTTGAGGCTGGGGGCTAGTCAAGTGGTCAGTTTGGACGCTCTCAGGGTGGTGTCAAGAGGAAAGTATCTGGTATATGTTGCATTCATTTTTAATTCAAGTGTTTTAATTTATTTGTTGGTCTCAAAGCACCTGCAACCAAGTACGAGTATAAGGTCCAATAAAGACAAGACAAGTGTGAGGTCATGTTTTTTGTGTGGCTGACCCCAGACGGGGTCGTAGATCAAGACCACCACTGACCTTCGGAGTTGGGAAAGTAACGATATTAAATCGTACGAAATACAGATGTGCCTCAGACTTCACCAGCGAAAGGATTCAACGCATTTGTTCAACGAATGGAGGCGAAATGCACCCCGAGTATCGTGGCTTTCTCCATTCTTTTCTCTGACAAAGTTTTATCTAATATGGCAGCACTAAACAATCAGCTGTTGGCCGTCGCTCAGCTGCTGCAGTGTTTTGGGTCCGTCCCGTCAGTTTGTTGCGTTGCCGTCGAGAGGTTGGGTGGGTCCGCGCGACCGGAGTGCGAGTGTTTTGGGTGCTTGTGGATCCTCGGGGCACCTCAACTCTGAAAAAAGGCTCCGAAATTTTATTGGAATATTTATATATGCATTTGAAGACCAAACTCTTTTGATTCAAGTCTAACTGTCTCCAAGACTGCGGGTGTGCGAGGTGGTGAGGTGCTGCCGTTCAGTTGGTGACATACCAGGGAAATAAGCTAAAATTAGAGCGCTCTATTTATTGCTCCTGCCCCATGTTGAAGAGATACCCCTAAAAGCGTGATCTTTTATCGGCCCTTACGCAGCAAGGCAGTAATTCTCAGACCGGTGGATGGTATCAATAGAAAGAGAATGCGTCAAAGATGAACATGAAGTAATTAAAATAACATTAAAATGTTAATTAAGCGTGGAAATTAGTCCCAAACATAAGCTAATTGTTGCTCCTACCTCGGCGACGGCGCTCCCCGCAGTCAGCGGAGAAGCTAAAATAAAAGCCACCATCCTCCTCCGTAAGTCAATTTTAGAGCGGCCGAGTGGGCCGATGCGGGGCCACCAAACTGAGGTGAGACGTGGCTAGCAATTGCAAACCGCCATAGTAATCAATATCTTAAGACGTACAATATGGGATGATTACTCTGAAGCTGGAGTGAAAGCATGAGTAGATTGCAAGAAACGAAATGCATAGATTGGTTGAATTATGTACAAAAGGCACAGCTCAGATGAAGCCATTTCTATGATGTTGACATATGACATAACCCTTCCTCTCCTCACCTATGACATAAGTGCCACGGTATATAGAGAACTATAAGTGCATTGGCAGTTACCGGCATATTTTTTTAGCACGAGTGTAATTCGCCATCGGACCGCAATGCATGTTGCTAGGCTGCTGCAATTACAACGAGCATACGAATACTGCCTTCATTTGTAGACGTTTGTTTTTTAGGCGGTCTTTGACGTGCAAGGGGGCATACCTGTCGACAACTTTAGTTTCTCCGAATTTCAAAAACTCCCAGAATTTCAATTCCTTATGCACTGTTGTAGGTACAGCGTACAGCTATGTTCACAAGTTTTTGTTTCCTCCTGTTCTAAAAAGGATGATATTTGTCGATTTCGTGCGTCGCTGATAGGAGGGTGCGATTAATAATTAGGCCCAACGCTTTCTGCATCCGCGAGTACCTTCAAAAGGGAACAACAGTTTCCATTTATTACACTATGGGACATCTGACAAAATGACCACTGGAACACGCATGAAACGGAGCTCATACTCCTAAAAATGTCTACAATCACTTCTTTTCTGACACTATTAGCAAATACCATCTCAAGTTAGGTGGTTGACAGACAGTCAATGGAGATCTGGGGAGACTGAGTGATGCCAATTCACCACTTAACTGATAATGAGGGCCGAGGGAAGAGAAACATGCAACATGCACAACTGACAACTTGACAAGTGACAAAACACTACCACTATTGCGCAGTGCACAACAAAATACAGCAGCCAGCCCAAAAAATGTTTTGGTGGCTAATTGCAAAACAAGTCACTATAAATGTCTTAGTTGCAGCTGAACACTGCACAATAATCACACTGTTCAAACATTGAGTGAGATGCCACAGGTGGTTTGAATCACACTTTGGTTCAACAGCAAATCTGAAGTGTTGTCATGAGGTTCATGCCTCCATGATCACAGCACTTTGGTTGTGGTTGGCATAACTTGTAGTCTGCAGAGTTCCACATGAACTGCAGACACCTCATCTGGTGGTCTTCATGTTGCTCAACTTCTTCAGGAGGCAAATGTCGACCACCTAGCGGAAGCATGGTCCTGCAGAAAAGAAAGGTAATGCATAAGGTACAAACATTATCTGCTGAAACAGCCCCTTCTGTTGGCTGTTATTAATCTTTTAACATAACATAACAACATGTATTACATGTATATTACATTTGTTGAAGTAAAATACTGCCGGCTATTTCAAAACCAGAAAATGAAATTATATTGTGGCATAATTCACATGCTCAGCTATCAGTATCAAATAATAATTAATTTGATATTTGGCATATTCTATATAACACATTCATAGAATATTCTACTTCACGTCACAAGGACTCACAATCTTTCTGTTGGGTGTTTGATTGACGCATTAACTAAGTTTGTCTTAGGTTTTATTATTGCAAAAAATTCATATTGCATTATTGTATCAAAACACTGCCAGCAATAACAAAACAAGAACATGAAATGTCAATGAGCAAGCCACCTTTCCTAAAAATGGATTAATTTGAAAGGAATTTTAGTTTCTTTTAAGGAAAAGGAGAAATGATTATCAGGTAATTATCAGAAAACCACTCAACCAGCAAATGGCTGGGTGGTTTCACAGCAAACATCAAGCCAAAACATATACTCACATTTATCTAACAATTGAGCCATTGACTACTACAAGGATATGTGAGCAAAATATGAATCCAATTATCCAATGTTGACTTCCTTGCAAAGTTTATGCCTTATTTTATGAAAATGTGTCACTAGAATATGATACTTATCATCGAATATTATTTAATTTACGATTTATTTCGATCGGAATGCACATGGAGTCCCGCGCCATTTTCGTCGACGATGAATATGATCGTGTTTCATGAAGGGATAAGGGGTTTCAATGGTCTTTCAAAGCAATAATTTAATGCAAAAATTTGTAGGAAATAATATAAAGCTGGTTCAAATGGCCATCAACCATTTAAAACACCGAAAATACTCACAACTCCGTCCCGACCACCACGCAGCACCGCGCACGCCACACTACTGGCAAAATGCCAAAACTGCTGTCACAGCGGAAATGTTTTTTTTTTCTCGATTGCAATTGTAGAATTATTTATTAAACAGAAGATGATCTTTCCGAAAAACCGACTGATTTCATACACAGATGCATGGAAAATAAAAAATACCGGTAAGTTTATTTGTATTGTTTTGTCGATTTTGACATCCTCCTAGTTTGCAGCCATATTTCGATATGTTCTACAGGGAGTTCAGAATTATTTCAGGACCAATCTTTTCCTCATTCATTTTCCCGTCGATCATGAAATTTTTAGAGCGGAACAATTAGTTTCCAGGCGGTCCGAGCGGTTTTCGTGAGAAGGGTGCAAAAATCGGCGTCATTTTTAGAGCCTCGACACCAGCTCAACACAGGACCCTATGGGAGACGGTGAAGTAGCGGAAGCAATAAATAGAGCGCTCTAATTTTAGCTTATTTCCCTGTAGTGTCACCGACTGCGTTGGTGCCAGTTGAAGATTTTCTGCTGATTTTCCTGTCAGTGTTTGAGTGTTTGTGAGTGCTTTGTTGTGTTATCTGCACTAGATAGGTGAAGATTTCTGAGTTTAAAATGGGAGACATGTCACCAGAGTTTGCAACAAAGGATGAAGAAATTGCATTTTGGAAGGGTCTCGCTCAGGATTTGAAAATAAGGTAAGCTCATTTTCAGCAAATTATTTTCTTCGAGTTGTCATAGTGCCCACCTGTTACTTCAAAGTAAAAAGGAAATTTTTCATTTATAAAGTAATACGTTATAAGGGTCTCATGGTAGGGCCCCTTCTTGTCCTCTGATAAATTCTATCCAGCTGTTCCAGATTGTTCACAGATGTCTGCCTAGGTTACTTTGAGCTTGTTTTCCACAGATCAGACAGAAATTATGCTCAACTGGGTTTGGTTCAAGAAGTTCCAGCTCACCTTCATTGACCCAACCCCATCACACTTTTCCGTTCCACAGACTGGCCGAGTCCCGGGACGAGCTGGACGAGTTCCAGGAGAACTCCCGCGAGCTGGAGGCCGAGCTGGAGGCACAGCTGGAGCAGCAGGAGGCCAGGGTGAAGGAGCTCACCGCCCGCCTGGCGCGCGTCCAGACCGAAAACGACCAGATCAAGGTAGCGTGCCAGGGATGGTGGTGGGTCTTCTCTCTCCTACTTTGAGTGACATCCTATGACAGTCCTGATGCCACTGTCCATGAATCATGAGCCACTGTCTGGCAGTTATTATGTTGATCAGGACTCAGGATGACCATTGAGTCCTGAAGTTGTATTGATGAGGTGTGGTTGTGACTTGTGATTGAAAGAGTTACATTGCAATGAAGCTGAGATCACTACTCCACAAAGGCAAAGGTGCATAACCAACATGGTGATGTATGTCGATTGTTGGTTATGAACCTTTGCTTTTGTGTCGCATATTATTGAGATTGAGTGGCAGATACTGTAATGACACTCAAACTTGCACAAGGATTGGTTGGAGGAATGTTTATGTCAGCACCCAGCAGTGACCTACTGTGATAGATTGGGGCTACATTGACGCTGGCTATGCGCACGATTCGATTGTCTTAGATTAGCTAGACGGTCGTAAAATGCTAGACAATCGTAAAATCGATACTAGTTTTGGCCTAGTGCCATGCCTCTATTCTTTTATGACTAGGAGTAGGGACTGACACAAATGGGCCCCATGCAATATTGGAGATTGGGACTGTGATGCGATATGAAATTGAACTGCGTTCGAAAATGGGGTTCCTGATCCATCTATCGATTGCAATCGCAAATGGTTAGTGGCTCCATTTATCGTAATTGGCGAGGGGCGGTGCGTCCACTAAATGTCATGGGATGATATTTGGCGCATTTGGCGCATACAAAGTCGATATTAATATGTACGGAATCGATGAGAATAAGCTCTGCTATTCCGATCCTCTCACTACTAAATTTTGGTTGAAAAAGGTCAACTCAGTGTCCACTTTGTCGCTATTTGTTAGAAAAAATTATCGCGATGCTTGCACACTAGCATGTTTCGTTGGATCATTACTGTTTGATCAGGCTGGTTCAAGCTATTTCAATTACGCATATTATGCTTTAATCGACTGAACCCATCTCTAGTAGTCTCCAACTCCAATTCTACCGCGACTGTTATCCAAGCCCAACTCCGACTCGGACTCTGGCGCCGTCTCCGACTGTAATCCTGCTCCAACTGTGTGAACTGGCACGGCACAGGACGCCCGCGGGACAGGTAGTGACCGAACACGGTGTGAACCGGGCCACCGCCGCTGCACGGTAGGCGATCGGGCCGGTCTAGCCTCGCGAAACCTCAAAGACACTTTTTTCCGAAAATTGGAAAACAACGCATAGGGTAAGGGCGGGTAAGAGGACGCGGGCGATAAGAGTACGCATCAGCTGTTTCGGTTGCCTAGCAACGCGGGTTTGTCGAGTTCATGAAGTGACATGAAGCCGCCAGTGCGGGGATGTCACTACTTTGCTTCGCCATAGGTCCAGTACTGATGTCGTCGGTTTCGATCCCGGTGACGTCAGTGCTGTCTACATCCGGGAACTTATTGCACTTGGTTCTCATTAGAGGTGGCCATATTGTTTTGTCTCGTGACGACACATTTGCGTCATCGGGATCGAAACTGGCTGTAAACAATTCGCTCAGTGTCGCTACCTACTATATATGGCCTTGCGCCAGTGCGTGTTTGTCACCAACGGAACGTGGGCGTTGTGCGGCGACGCTGTTGAGTTTAAGGCGATGAATATTATTTTGGAGCGTTATGATATTATTATGGTATGGTACAATAATTTTGATATTTGGCAGTTGAGATAAGGTACATTTTTGTGATTACTGTGGGAAACTTGAGAGGTTTTCTGGGGAAATACTGTGCAGTGCAATATTCTGTTTGTGAAGTTTTGCACAATGTTTCGGGGTTGTTTTGTGCGCGAATTGCATGGAGGGTAAGAGTACGCACTGTTCATGAGGGTAAGAGTACGCAGAATTATACATTATATCAAATATACAGAAATATCAAATTATTGATATATCGCTCAATGACGTTTGTTTTGTAGGTTTATCATCAATGGAGCACTGTGAGGCAGATGCGTACTCGAAATTCTTCTAAATACGATTTATTTTCCTTATGATTGTACATTTTTAGAGTCACATGACTTCATTATTTCTTGATTTATAGATATGCAAGATTTATTTTCTTTTTTTTCTTTTTTGATACTAGAATTACATTAACTGTCTTCTGAGTTTGATGTTAGGCATTTGGACAGTAAAAGCTGCCTATAGGTGTGTGTTTATATGCTCGCGTACTCCACCCGCATGGTGTGCGTACTCTTACACACCCCATGTGGTAAGAGTACGCAACAGCAGCGGTTCAGAAAACGTCAGTTTTAGACCACTTCCATTTACGCTGAAGGATCGTTGCTTCATGGGTTGATGGCGAATTCAATGAACTTTGATATTCTATATTTGCGATTTCTTTCTTTCAAATATTTAACAAATCAGAGCAAAAAATCCACTAAGTGCGTACTCTTATACGACTTCACCCTACTAGTCGACAGAAAATTCATCAAAGATTACGATTAGTGCATTTGCATGGCTCAGGAGACATTTTTTCGTCGACAAAAGTATCGTTAAAGACAGCGTTCCGTAACACTTCATAAGGGGGATAATCACAGCCGATTTTTACGCTCTTTGAATATTTTGCGGAACGATGAAATTGCTAGGTGTTGAGCATCCATTTTGCATGGAATGTGAAATTTAGATGTTTAGACGATTCTGCCATAGAAGGCAAGTAGACAAAATCAGTTCAAAATGTCTTATAATTAGGTTAACTTTTTATATTTTTTTCTACCACTGAACATTACGTTCACTGAATTAACCAAGCCCAGCAAAAAAAGTTTTAAGAGGATGAACTGAAAATAATGCTGTATCGCATGCACTAAGACACTATCTATTAGGGGAGCCAGTGAAAATTTGCAGCCACTTGCAGCCCTGGCATCCAGACACCTTTTTCTTCTAAGGGTTGGCCGTGGCTCGGTGCACTTGAGCACAAGTGGTAAATGCCACAAAGGGTGTTTTCGCGATAGCTCAAAACACCCAGGCAATAGAGAGCTGCAACTTGGCATACCTGACCTTTGATGCACGCCGAATCTTGTGACACCAACCGCACTTTCAAGTCAGGTCAGGTCACTGACCTATGACGTCATAAATGAACCTCTGCACGATCCTCAGATGTCGCAACCTTGCAACGCTCTCACTGCCAGAGTAACTTTCACAGGGAAGTGGGACTTGCAGGACTAATTGTCCTTTAGAGGTGTTACAACTTTTATATCTCAGATTTTTCCTAAATGTCACATTAAGTCAGGTTGGTCACGTGACCTCACCTTTAAGTCAATTGGGAAATATGAAAACTGTGATTTTGGCGCCAGGAATGATATTCAATTGTCTCAAGTACATGGAATCGTTACTTCATGCACTCCTTGCAAGACCTGATGCGGCATTTTTGCATTGTTGACCTTGCATGACGTCATTTATGACGTCACTAGGGTCATACGAGCTTTTCGTCAATAACTCCCAATCAAATTGAGCTAGAGAGTCGACAAGGTCACCAATGGACTCCGGAAGACCTGCCGAATCGAATGATATGCGATATGACCTCCTTCGACCAACTTCGCGATTTGAAGACCTCTGACCTGACCTTGACTCGAGGTCAATACCTTACGGTGGCCTCACCTGAACAAAAAGTATACCATTCGACGCGCCTGAGCAAGACGAACACGACGATGTCAAAATCGTGGTTCTGCGGCCATTTTTTGCGAAGTTATTTACCAAAAACCAAACCTGCTGCTTGGGTCACGTTATGAAATGGGGTCTTGCCGGGCGAGATTTACGCTGTTTCATGATATGTATAAATTGGTAGGGCATAATCGTTTGAATAAAAAGTTGGTTTAGAATCAATTTTCTACGGAGGTACACACCATTTCAATATCCTACCCAGCTCATATCGTCATAAATTTCGACCTACCCTCAAAAGTATTCATGTGTTATTCGAGCGGCAATTAGGCAAATTGCAAGCTCACCACAGAGCACAAATCCTAAAAGAGATAGTCCTTATTTAAAACATATGCTCATTGGATATTCAAGAAGGTTGCTCCTAAATATTGTGGTTCTAGCTTCAAAAACATGGATGTTATGAATGCCGATAGGTTTCGCGAGGCTACACCGGCCGGATCGCCCACTGTGCGCTGGTGACGCCAGTTCTGTCTGGTCCGGGCGACACTTCCGGAGGGCTTCTACAAGTCGTTATGAGACGGAGACGTGCGAACTAGACAGACTGAGACGTGCGAACTAGACAGACGGAGACGTGCGAAATAGACAGACTGAGACGTGCGAAATATGGCCGGTGGGCCGTGCGGGTGTCTGATGGTGTTGGATTAAATGGGGCGAAGGAGTCAAAATTCAGAAATCATAGCGTTTGGATAATGTATGTTTCAAAATGCATTTGTGTTGGGAATAATTATGTGGCAACTGATTTAGAGGACGTATTGCTTTTTTTAATATTCTGAGCACGGCGAACAATGAACATTGCTTGTACGAACATGATAATAATTGTCTATGCAGTATGCCAAGATAGATATCACTCAGTTTTGAGTTTGATTAATGTGTTGATTGTTGACACAAGCGCGCAGCTTGCATTCGTTCACTGATATAATCAGTTGATTGCGTGATCTTCGGACCGTTCTGGACTGGCGTGATTTCTGCCAATATGCCGTACATGGATGCGAGTGACACGCGGTATCAATTCGGCAGCGTTGTACTGGGGACGTAGGACAGTTAAGGCTGGCCTAAATCGGTCCGCTCACGGTTACAACGGCCGCTAGTTTTCGTGAGTTAGGTATTGGAAACGGGCGTAGACGCTGGGTTCGTGATCAGTGTAACGATACTGGTTTATCTTTTTTTTAGTGAGGGTCTTGTAACCTGGTTTTGATGCCATTCTGCCTTTATTTTTGTAGTCGCTACCCGATACAGTGTCTTACTTAAAAGTCATGATTTATCAGATTGCCGAATCCCGTCTCCATTCTCAAAAGCTTAGTTTGATTTTCTATTACACTTT